TTACTATGGGCAAGTATCCCTTGCACTGGCGGAACTGCTTGGTCTCATATTAACATGAATCATGACACGGCGAAAGAGAAGGTGAAGCGACATCGATCCATTTACAAAAGAATTTGGTCTGCCTTCGTTGACCTCGTGAACTCAATGGAATTTGCCAAACCGTTGATTGCTATTGAATGGCCTAGGAGTTGCACTTATTGGGACGATAAGGCTGTTGACAAGTTCGTAATTCGAAACAACATGACTTCTGTTAAATTTGACGGTTGTGCTGTTGGTGTCAAAACTACCGATGGGATTCCAATGAAGAAACCATGGACCGTGAAGACCAACATGCATTGCCTCCACAATTACCTTGATGGAAGAGTATGTTCTTGCGCTGTCCAACATGCTGAAGGTAGGGGACGGAATCTCAAAAATACTGAATCCTACACATACATCATGACTGACTTGATTCACAAGGCTTTTGCTTATGCAGTGTCGGTTCAAGAAAAGGTTGTCCAAACACGGATACTAGTTGCGACCATGGCTGAAGCACTGCCAGTGGAGAAGGCCTTGAAGACGGTACGCTGGGCATTCTCCGAGAGGCACTACAAAGATGTGCCGCTCGCTCGAGTTGACTACGGCTCGGACTACATCCTGCACGATGGGAAGGTGAAGGCCGAGGTCATCCCCGACGAGCTGCGCGTCGCCAACCGAGAGGCTTGGTCAGACATGTTCCGTGATGCGGCAACCCAATCATTCATCGTCAAGGACGTGAACTCCGGTGTCGACCTTGCCAAGATGAGTGAACGTACCGATGCGCTGGCTCTCGCCAAGAATGCCATGTCATCGTTGACAGGTACTGCGGGAATTCTCAAAGAGGCTCCGGCTGAGGCTTTCGATATCCTCTTCTGCCCGGGGAAACCCGCGGTCAACTATCTGTTTTTCGGCGACTCCTTCAATGCGTTGGTCAAAGATGGAGCAAAGACAGATGTTGGCACCATCATCAAGGAGAATAAGCGGACACTCTTTGGGCACAAGCACGAGGTCTGGTCCGAAATGACATGGGGCAAAGGACTAGCAGAATCTCTTGACGCTGCTGAGCGTGCAATGCTAAAGCTCGCCGAAAGGCCTGAGCCCGGCCGTACGTCATCGTGATCTCGTGGTCCGGGAATGACGTTGTCGGTCGTAACGGTTACATCGACAACCCCGCCGCCCTAGCGGGCTGGGCCACTGACTCCGAGGCAAAGCGGAAGGCTGCGATGGACATCATCGAAAGGAATGCCCGAGCGGTGATGACTGTCCGTGATCGGCTACGCCATATTGCTTTTCGGGAAGACGTCGTCCAGGTCGTCCTCATCGTGCCGAGGGACTATGAGACGTATGGACTGAGTGAATCTTACAAGACTCAGATGGACGGGCATGCTCGTTTGTTGCATGGTTCCGCGGGAATCACCGTCCTCGACCCCCAGACTCTCATATCCAACACGTCTCGAGCTGACCGCATCCACACCGATGACACCGAGCGGAACAGGAAGCACTACATCAATTATTATGTGGCCGCCGCCAAGCTCGGGTACTGCATTGGCCAAATCAACCGCTTCGAAATGGCGATGAATTGGTACCGCCTCGAAAGGGAATACATGAACATTGACACATCTATCCCGATCGTTGGCGCTACACCCCAGGAAACTGGCGGTCCGGCAATTGCAAAGAACCCTGAGGACCCTTTCGACAATGAGGTCCGTGAGAGGGAGTTGGAGGCGATCAACGAAATCGCCGCGCAAGAGCCGAAGCGCGAGGTTTTCCTGGAGACTGAAAAGGAGGCAAACCCCCTCTACCCCCTTGACACCGTCAAGGAGGAAGCAAAGATCTTACAGATGATGCAACCCGACATTCACGCGGCGACCGTCAGCGGCCTCAACGATGTGATGATTGGTCTTCTTCTTCGGATGAGGAGGACCTGATCAGCTTCGACCTGCCCCCTGGCTCTCAGCCTAAGGTCAGCCGGCCGAAAGGCCAGGCCGTTGAGGTTGCCGCAGTGGATCCGAATGACATTGGTGAGGACGGCCAAATCAAGCTCATCCTCACTTCCAAGCGGAAAAGTCATAACAAAATGACTGCAGCTCTCAGTGCTGCGACACCAAAGGTGAAATCAAAGGCAATGCCAATGCAGGCTGCCTCATCCAGTGATCAGGCGTCCGTGGCTGGGACCAGCAAGACTCAGCCCGGAGAGATCCGTGGCCCGGAGATCATCCCCAAGGCGAAGGCAGTTTCCAAAGCTGCTGGAAAGCCCGGGGAGACCCGTGGCCAGGCTGCTGAACCCAAGAGGGAGTGGATCAAATGCTCAGGAATCAAGATTCCCCAGATCCAGAACTATGGCAGAAGGACGTTCTTGAGCAAGAAGGTGTCGTATTTGGTTCGCGGACATGCCCACGAACATGCGACGCGATCCATCCCTGAGATCAATCTCAAGGACAACTCCTTCGACTACGCAGCCGTCGCCAAATGGATCCAACGTCGATATGACTGGAACTGCACCCAATACACTCTTCTTCAGGCCACGTCCACATCGAATCGGTTCGAGGTCTATGTCGAGTACGCGCCGGCCGGGCAGCAATGGAACGGGCTCAGTTTCATGCCGCTACGCATTCGCGCGTTCACCGGCCACAACGATTGGGTGACCGAGGCCAGCGGCTTTGACAATATTCCTGGAGATCCCATTGCAATGGATGTCAATTACACCATTGAGCACGCAAAGAAGGGTGTGCGACCGGGCTTCTGCAAAGATTTCTCGGACGCACGCCGAAAGGCGCTGCCCAAAATCGCCTACCACACGTGCAACATGCAGAATTTCTTTGACATCATCTACATGGGCATCTTTCCGGGCGGAATGGGAGACCGGCAAACCTCGCGTGGTCACGCCTACCTAACGGTAGTGCCTCCTTGGGACAGGCATGGCCGGAAGGCGGGGGGCGCGCGTGCTGACCGACCCATCAACATCGCCGTCGATGTGGAGATGTTGATCCAATTGGGATGTCGGCTGTACGCACCCGGAGACGGGGAAGCCCTGGTGACGGAGGATTGGATCACGAACAAGGTCCTCATTTACGCCTATGACGCTGAATGTGCAAAGTTTATCTGGTCTAACCGGATGTATGTCAGCGTCAGACGGAATTACCAGGACAGCATCAAGAAGTATCGGGAAGAGACCCAGAAGGGCGTTGTCGGGACCCCAGTGCTGGAATCGTTCATGGCGAAGGCCGAGAAGGAGTGTAAGCTCTATTACAAACAGTGGGCCCCGACAGCGTGCCGCGACATGACGCGGCCCCACCGCATTGGCAATGTGACGAAGGTCAGGGACGTTTACGACGAGAACCTCCCGAAAGAAGAGCAGGTCGCGCTTGAATTCGAGACCGCCCGCTATGGCCTCTACAGAAACTGGGCCCGAGCTGTGACGCAGCAGCCCGGGGAAACCCGAGGCCGGAGTGGTTTGTGGCAGGACTTGGATCCCAACAAGCAGAAGTCGACCAACTGGCGCTTCGCGGAGGTCATGCACATCCCCGACGTTGAGTGCCCGCGCTGCAAAATCCTCATCCCAGTCGGCACCATCAACTGTTTCCAGTGTGACCGTCTCATGGAGCGCATGCCCGATATCAAGAAAATAGCCAGGGTCGTCCGTTTGCAGGAGATGGCCAACAGCTTGGGCGTGCCGCTTTCCATGGACCAGGTTGAGACTCAGATATTGACGCAGCGGAAGGATGCGCGAGGGGATCGAAGCGCAAGAGGGGGCCTCGGGATCATGAAGGACATCGCCAAGAAAGCAGTTCTTCGCAACAAGGAGTACACCACGTTGTACGAGAGGCTGATCAATGACCCCTTCTACGCCTACACTGCCGCGCGGGGAGACCTGACGCCGTCCGCCCTCGAGTTTATCGAGAATGTGGCACGATGCATCATTCCGAGTTTCGGGAGAACAAAGGAAATGATCCAAGGAAGCGTTGCTGTGCCGAAATATCACGCACGGCTAACGCTGGTGCCGCCAACAGAGGACGTGCAGGAGGTTGATCCGAAGGACGTGTATGTGGTGCATGGTGGCAGATTTCTGGAACCAGAACAATTTGCTGCATTGTATGGAAGCCTTGACAAGAGCAACCGCTACCCCGTGATGGGCTGGACCCGGGATTTCTCGTCTGTGGGAGACCCCGAAATGGTATTGGTTGAGTTGCTTTGCTTCGTCGAAGAGGAGATCCCCGGCATCGAAATCCCTGGACGAGCCACCCCGCTCCCTGCAGTTGTCGGTGTGACGCGCAAGCCCATTCCGCAGCTCCGGGAGACCGGTGGCCAATGGCAAGATCGTCAATGGAGCCAGTCGTACTGGGGAAGCTGGGGCCAATCCTGGGACTCGTGGTGGTCTGATGATCAGCGCCCGTGGAAGAGCTCCCGCAATTGGGATTGGCGATGAATGAGCGATCTAGATCTTTTCAATCTTCGGCTGACATCCATTTACATTTCAAATTCAATATTCATTATACTTCTCAATCCATGTTGGCCGAGGATCAATGTACAGTGCATGAGCACGCCTCGCGAGAGCGACGGTCAGTGGAGGCGGAAGACCTTAACTGTCGGTTGCTCGAATCCAAGTGCTTGTGTACTGCAAAAGGACTTCATGCCGATCGGGTTTCGTTGGTTGTTTCATCCCTTTCATTTGTCCTCCTGTTTCACATTCGGGCACGGGGGGTGTAGTTTGCAACGTGATGTATTTATCAACCATGTAAAACCCCAATGCATGAATGTCTCACTTGCGCAGTCGTGATGAGACTGCGTATGGCTCAAGGAAAAAGCGCGCTCAGTACAGGGTTCATTTGTGACCCTTCCCGGTTGTTTAACCTGTTCTATAGAAGCGAAGCCAAAGCCCAAAGTCATGACGCAGAATCCCCAAGCGAACCACGCCATCCACCTGTCCGCCAACCAACCAATAAAAACGCATCTTCCACCCGTGGATTTGCTATATCTGACAGGTGGAGAAGCCAGAGCTGAGACCCAGGCTGGCTTAAGGTTGCCGAGCTCAAGATGCTTCAAGGCTAAGATGTTTCAAGGGGAAGGCCTCTGTTGGTGCCTCGAGTGGTTTGTCACCTTTCTGGGCTCTTGGGGGATGCACGCTTTTGTCTCCTTATGAGTCCCCCACCAGTCGCGGGATTGCAGCATTCTTCTTGACTGTTTGGAAAGCACGCTGCCGAGTTGTGTTGCGGCGGAAGGCCGGCATTTAAGTTGAGCGGGGCAAAGGCCAATAAGCCAGGACAACGATGGCGATGTTGCACACTGGGAAGTATGCGAGCCCATGCAAGCAGACCGTGCACACTGTCAATTGCAAGGTAGGCAGGTGTTGAAAGGGCAAGAAAGGCTTAGATGGAATTCATGTGATGACAGCTGCAGCCCTGCAAGCATGTGGGAGTCTTGCTAGCCCTTGGAAGTTGCAAGGCGCGTGATCCTCTTCGCTCATAGCCATGGATGCCTGCAGGAGGGACAGCCCTTGGGAAGGGGGCAGACGTTCCATTGTTCGACCGAAATTGAAGAAAGAAGCACTCGTGCCGCTGGTTTTGCGTTCGTCATGTTCCGACATGGCTGGAAGAAAGGGGTTCCACCAACTAACAGGTCTTTTTCTGGCAGCTCCGGCAAGGACATATGTGCTCTCGTGTTCTTGAGCTGAGTGGGTCCAACGGTTTTTGATACTCGTGAGCCTTGAGCTTCTGTCATGTAAGGGCAGGGTGACTCACTCGGGCATACAATGAATTGTGTTTACACTCCGTTGATTTTTCCCTGAAAGGCACACCAGCCCCTTTGACAAACAGATAAACATCTGATGCAAATGAGGCATCCCATCCCCAACCGAGCATCACAGCCAGGGCCACCGCCCCTCTTGAGTCAAACTCACAGGGGATTGGTTGATTTGAGGACCAGCCGCCCAGTCGCCAATCCAACCCAGCTTCAACTTGTCACCTTCCAGGCCAATTTCAAACAGGATCATTGCAAACCCGCCCCACGCCTTTGGCGAGTTGAGAAGGTGTCACAGCATCTTCAATCATAGGACATGAAAGCTGCTGCAAGCTTCAGCAACATCTTCTCTCCAGGCCTACGGCCTGGCCCAGCGGCTGGGAAGCCGGGTCTTGAAGCTCTACGTGGCGGCGTGGGGAACTTGGCGGCTCCCGTGTGAAGTTTGAAACCGGTTCCGGGCATGTCCTCATATTTACTTTACCCTGATGCTGCCTATGTCAGAGTATGTTGACTGCATTTCAGATTTGGCCGTGTTGCACTTGGAAAGAGGGCAAGGTGAGGAAGCCTGCTCAGAGTCGCTGGCTTGTACGTTGAGTGCGAGCTGGTGGGTCTTCAGTGAAGTGGACATGTTTTTGAATGGTCTCAGGCTGTTGTCCGTGAGAAGCCACCAAGAACCATGAAAAGTCGCCCCTCACGCGATTACTTTAAGGCTGACCAAGCTCGGGCCCAGCTGCAAGGCGGCGACCCCCCAGCCTGCCATTGCTGGACGAGGCGAGTTGCGCAGCAACTCGAGCAGACGAGACGACTCCAATACATCCAGTTGCGCCTCCAAACGAAGATGGAACCAGGGTATCTGACAAAGGGCTGGTATGGAGGAAGTCTTGCCATCGACAGGTGTGGGGCGTGCCAAGCGGCAAGGATATCCAGGCCCTGGATGACACCACACTGCTGGAAGGCGGGAAGCTGCCAACCCTTGGCTCTCCAAAGTTGCTTCTGTTTTTGGGTGCACTTTTCGGGTTCTGACCCTGTCTCTTGGACAGCGGGCCCAATTTGGTTGGCCTCGGTCCACCCTTGATGCCAGGGATGTTGGGAGCCTGGCGGAATCAGCTGCTGGAGGCATCGCGCGGCCCGCCCCTGCCCGGACCCCGGAGCGCGGTTGAACAAGCGTGGTAGAAGCCAAGCACCGAAAAACAGGAACTAAGAGACTGTTTGGCTTACTTGCTGTGGCTGGTGCACAACACAATGTGTACTTTACTTACATATATGTAAACAGTATATATACACGTATATTACATTTGCGTTTAGTTGTATATGTATATATTACGTGTATATAGGTTTGAAGGTACGTAGCCCACGGCCTCGTGGCATGTTGGATTGGGGAGCGGCATTCCACTTGCCAGAATTCTTGCTCAGCCCGGACTTGATCGGACTTGGGGGAAGGGGGGCGGGGGGGTGCAGCAGGCATCCATGTAGAAAGAAGCAGCATGTTGGATTATTTGGCGTGCTGAGGCAAAAAACCAAGGGAAAGAAGCACCACAATGCCGTCCAACTTGATAGTAGCCTCCAGTCATGCTCACAGCATCTTGGCTGGGGCCCACGCGTACCCTTCACCGACATGTAGCCTCATCGGATGCTTCTCCCGGCAAGTCCCGATGTTCCAAGGCTGGCATCCGTTTCGAAAGGCACCCACTCCTAGGCCTCCACTTATGGTGTAGGTTTCAAGGCTAAACCTTTTGAACTGACCGCGGTATTTCGGCAGAGTTGATCCCTTGTCCTATCCCACAGAAAGCAGTCTACTCGCAATAGCAGTCCCTTGGGACATCTTGGGACTCTCGGCTGCTCTGATGTTAGCCACCCCGTGGTACGGTCCAAAAACGGCAAATCTCCGGCGCAGCCAGGCCACCAATAGCAACAAAGATCCTTGCCACCGTGCGGGAGCAATACGCTTCCCCTTGCGCGCCAGGCTGGGCAGGAAGCTGATGTTGATGCGTGTGTGTGTGTGTGTGTGTGTGTGTGTGTGTGTGTGTGTGTGTGTGTGTGTGTGTGTGTGTGTGTGTGTGTGTGTGTGTGTGTGTGTGTGTGTGTGTGTGTGTGTGTGTGTGTGTGTGTGTGTGTGTGTGTGTGTGTGTGTGTGTGTGTGTGTGTGTATGTGTGTGTGTGTGTGTGTGTGTGTGTGTGTGTGTGTGTGTGTGTGTGTGTGTGTGTGTGTGTGTGTGTGTGTGTGTGTTGTGTGTGTGTGGTGTGTGTGTGTGTGTGTGTGTGTGTGTGTGTGTGTTGTGTGTGTGTGGTGTGTGTGTTGTTGTGTGTGTGTGTGTTGTGTGTTGTGTGTGTTGTGTGTGTGTGTGTGTGTGTGCTGTGTGTGTGTGTGTGTTGTGTGTGTTGTGTGTTGTGTGTGTGTGTGTGTTGTGCTGTGTGTGTGCTGTGTGTGCTGTGTGTGTGTGTGTGCTGTGTGTGTGTGTGTGTGTGCTGTGTGCTGTGTGTGTGCTGTGTGTGTGTGTGTGCTGTGTGTGCTGTGTGTGCTGTGTGTGCTGTGTGTGTGTGTGTGTGTGCTGTGTGCTGTGTGTGTGTGTGTGCTGTGTGTGCTGTGTGTGTGTGCTGTGTGTGCTCTGTGTGTGTGTGCTGTGTGTGTGTGTGTGCTGTGTGCTGGGTGCTGTGTGCTGTGTGCTGTGTGCTGTGTGCTGTTGTGTGTTGTGTGTGTGTTGTGTGTGTGTGTGCTGTGTGCTGTTGTGTGTGTGTGTGTTGTGTGCGTTGTGTGTTTTGTGTGTGTGTGTGTTGTGTGAGTGTGTTGTGTGTGTGTGTGTTGTGTGCGTGTTGTGTGTGTTGTATGTGCTGTGTGTTTTGTGTTGTGTGCGTGTGTTGTGTGTGTGTGTGTTGTGTGTGTGTGTGTTGTGTGTGCGTTGTGTGTGTGTTGTGTGCGCGTTGTGTGTGAGTGTGTTGTGTGTGTGTGTGGGTGTGTTGTGTGTGTTGTGCGTTTTGTCTGTGTGTGTGTGTTGGTTGTGTGTGTGTTGTGTGTTTAAGTGTGTAAGCGTGTTGTGTGCGTTGCGTGTTTAAGTGTGCACAGTAAGTGTGTTTGTGTTTGTGTGTGTTTTTGTGTGTGGTGATTCTTGGTTTTACAAGAGAGGCTTGTACAAGTGCAATAGTAGATTCGTGTGAACCATTGGGTGGCACCCTTCCTGTTGCAGGGCTTTGGAGGGGGGATGTGGGAATCATTGCTTGATTCGACACGCTACAATTTCAACAGGCTCATTGGACTCGAACACCTTGCCACCCCCGATCCTGAAAGGGTGACATGTTTTAAGGGTCGTCAGTTTGGTTTTGGTTACCTTTGAGGCCAACAAATGCCTCCACCCCTTCTACGTACAAGCCATTGGCAGGAATTGTTGGCCCATGCAAAGGGGTGCTATTTCCCCTTGGCCATTTGGAAACGGACACATTTGCGAGGGTGCCTTCAAACGAAACCCCCTGTTTGTCCCGCTGGGACTCGACACGGGCTGTAAGACATCAATTTGCACTCTTTGCCTCTAGGTGGCAGCTGTGAGTTAGAGGTTCTTCACCTGCAGGCGGCCGCGCATAGAGTGTATAGGGAAGTGGCTGAATGTGACAGGTAAACAGGAACATGTTTGGGGGTGGGTGATTGCTCAATGGTATGAGATGCGATTATAGAAAGCCATTCTTCAGAAAATCAAGCATTTTCCCATGTTCGCTTGCTGAAGCAGGCAGCACAACTCGCTTGCACAACGGTCTGCTTTTTGTCCAAGGTAGGGCCATCATTCCGATCCCTTGTGGCAAGACATTGAAGAGAGACTCATCAGGCACAAGAGATATGCTGTTGCAGGCTTGCACTGCCTCACACCTGTGCAGGCATGTGTTTGGCTTCCTACGGAATGCATTTTGCAGGGGTCAAGTTTGCATGCAACTCAGGTCAGGTTGCAAGGGCCAAATCATATCCTGGCCACCTTTTTGAATCCGTTTTTTGGTTGTCCCTGTTTGAGCATCTTCCTGGCTTTGGTCCATCGCTTTCCCTGCGTCTGAGCTTTGCCATGGTCCCAAAAGCCCAGCCGTTTCATTTCCGCCACCCGATGCACGAGGCCAAGGTAGCTGCGCCCATCCTGGCCTTGGCGTGCTCGCAGGAGCTCAATGAACTCTGACTAAGAGATGCTTGGTGCATTGGATGGTTTTGTGTGTGTCTGTGTGTGTTGCGGGGCTTATCGGGGCTTCATGACCGTGACGTCTTGGTTGCAACAAGGTGGACCAGTGGCTCCTTCTGGCGGCATGCAGACGGTTCTTTGCCTCTTCAGTGTTTAGCGGCCATAAACTGGTGAAGGGGAATTAAAGCAACCAATCCACTTCGAGGACCACAACTTGCGCATGGGGGCAAAAACCGCCAGAGTCTGGATGAGCCGGGCCCCTACCCCCAGCCAAGGATCGAGGGCGCACAGTGGGATTCCGGCTGCTTTGCCAGGAGAAGGCTAAAGGAGAAACGGCCACCAAAATGGAAGGCAAGTGCCCGATCTGCGGATAGGGCCAGTCCGTGGTGTCCTTGTCCCTTGTTTGCTGGCTAACGCCAACAAGAAACGCTCACAAAGGGTTCCCTAGTCGCAAAGGGTTTCGGTGCGTTGCCCTTTGCCGCTACAGAACACGTGGAACTCTGTCGTTTGTTTGGCAGTCCTGATCTCCCTCTCTATCGCAGGGTTAGTTCTGCTTGGCGGTAGGGGGGAAGCAGGGGGAGTTCAGCCACCGTTAGACGGGTTCTCGAGATCACCATGTCTGGGAGTCTAGGTCTTGGTGGACATTGAGGGGCAGTGCTGGGCTTTGCGCACAACTGTGTCCAGTTGGAGTTTGCTGACAAATGGCAGCAGGACACGGCCACTTGAATTTGAGAGGAGTGGGACTGTTTTGCGGAAGCATCTCCTTCACCCACTCAAAGCGGTTTACTTTGAAATTCAGCCACCTTCTTAGAGATGACGATGACAGAGTACAAGGGAAGTCACACACACACATGCAGTAGCCGGCTGCAGGAAAAGAGGTAGAGGTTGCGCAAGCAACATCTCGCCAGCCAGGCTGGAGAGCTTTGACGTCTTCCAGCTTTGAGCTGCGGGTGGTGTCAGGCTCAGAGCCCGTGTTTTGCACATGCTGCGGGCGTAAGGCTGGGGCTGAACTGACGTGGCTGTTGAGGGCGACATGTACGATCACTCATGTTTGCCGGATTTCTCAGTTGTGACCTCCTGCGTGTTTTCTACAACATCTTGCAGCCGGTCATGCACGCCCAAGACGTTCAGACATTGATGGGCTCGCACGATGCCATGCGCTGCACCTCGTGTTTCGTTTTGTCATAGTATTAGCATCACTTCTTTGGCCTTCATTTGTTGGCGCTCGCCCCTGCGTTGGACGGTAATCATTAAAGCCGCCTGGAAACAGCGAGCGCTCGATCGATCCCAGAGAATACTAAGAGGGTGAATTCAACCATAGACAGAAGGATTAAGTGGATGAATGGAGGAAGGCATGAACGGAAGAAGGGATGCATCGAGAAAGGAATGAAGGGAGGAAGGAATGAAGGGAGGAAGGAATTCGTTACATCAATCCATCCACCAATCCATGCACATCCCTAGGTGGATGCCGACCACATGGACTGCCTCTCGGGGAAGTCTGAGCTGGTTGGCTTAGTGGTGGAGGACTGACCGTGAAGTCACTCAGCAGAATCCTCAATGGGATTGGGGCTTCCCAAGTGTAGGGAATGGCTCAACGAAGGCGAAGTCTGCATGATTGAGGGCTGGAGCCCTCGTCAGCTTTTTGCGAAGGACGTGAAGCAGCTGCTGGCAAGCCCAAGCTGAGAGCCAATTGCTTCGCATCGAAAAAGCTAACAAGTTGGACCTGCACGAGCACGAGTCAGAAATGTCGAGGCTCTGGTAAGGTGATGGGCCCTGAGGCGCGATCCTGTCTTTCGCCAACGGCCGCGATCAGTACTTTTGTGGCTTCCTTGGCAGCCTATGGCCTGTAGCCTGTATTGGGTGCCGCTGTTTGGTGTGGGCCAATTTCACGCAGGACCGCTTTACGCCCAAGCTGCCCTCAACAGCAAAGTTTTGCGGTGTTCACCTCCTAAGACCCTTAGACCTGTGCAAAGGCAAATGTGCAAAGGCGGCAGCGCGGCAGCCTCATGTTCAGAACCGGTAACCCAGCCAGAAACAGGCTTCAAAGCATTTTGGCTGCTTGGGAGCCATGAGGGCAGCTCATTTGCTGGCAGTGGCGAGCTTGTATGCTGCCGAGCCCTAGCCGCATCAAAGATCACATAGTCGAAAGCTGTCGCCACTATTGAGCCAATTCTCCCCTTCAATGGCTTCAGGCCGCACCAGCTTTGTGAACGTGCGCCATACTGGCCCCTGCTCGTATTATGGCTACTTTGCATTAACTAAGTTGGCTCTCATCGTAGAACTTGACGTTCACAGTCAACTGCGCAAAAGGCTTCTTTCCGTCAGTTCCTGGTTCTGAGAGATTCTCTCACAGCTGAGTTATTAGCATGCTGACCCTGGCACTTGCACCAGCTAAGGGCAGGTGGGTTTGCCACGCACCTCGGCAAGAGTTCTGGGGCGCGCTTTAGTCGGGGACGCGGCATGTTGTGGTTCCTCATCCTTTGGGTCGGAATATGGAAAAGGACAGCGCTGAAGCACCAAACCCGCCCATCCCAAGGTCGGCTTCACCGCTCCACCAGCGGCGAGGCCCGAAGACGTCCATGTTTTTGTATGTGTGTTTGTTGTTTGGCGGGTTTGTTTTATTGACTTATGTTTGTGACTTGTTCAGTTGTTGTTTACTTTCTTGCTTGTTTGCTTGTTTGGCTGGCTGGTTGAGTTGGTTTTGTAGTGTGTTTGCTCTGTTTTGCCGTGTGTTGGTTTGTTGTGTTGTTTGTTGTGTGTCGGTTCGTGTTGTTGCGGTTTGTATTCAATGTTTCGCCATAGTTTCCAGGATCAGTTTTGTTGCGGAGTTGAGAAGCAGCTTACAGCCCGGGCCATGGTAAACCTTGGGCTTTGCCGACAGCCGTTGGCCCAAGGGCCTGTCAATGTAGTCGGCAATGCGGGGCTTGGCCGTGCTCCTGGCTTGGCAGGTGCGGGGAAAGCGTGGCGTTCCAATCAGGGCGTTCTGCCACACTTGGCCATGGTTCAGGGTTGCGCTCCAGCCCCAAGCAGAAAAGGTGACTGTGCCGAAGCTTGGGCAAATGGATGCAGACCCTAGCAACCATGGAAACTCCTGAGTCATGGGCATCGGCAATAGATTTGGCCTTAGCCAATGGGCAGCCTTGGATACCCTGCGTCAAGTAGGTTGACGTGTTTCTTCTTGTTGAAGCTTCGACGTTTTGTGCAGGGTGAACTAAAAACTCTGGCCGTGGCTGCGCCCGGGCAGGTCCATGCAGAAGTCCTCTCGGCGAGCCCCTTGGGCCAGGCGCCGAGGTGTTTCCGGGCGGTTTGCCGAGCCACGGTAAGTGGCAGGCCCTTGACCTGCTCAACAGCCTGAAGTCCACAGTGGAAGCAGATGCCGTGAAGCAGCAAGAGGCATATCAGAAGTACAAGGACTGGTGCCCTCACCACCCCGCCCCGTTCCAGCCATTCTGGATTTTGAAGAGTGTGACCCCGGTCTCCTTTTGAAGAGGGGGTCTTGGCAAGATTCAGAAAACATGGTCCAGGGTGTATAGGCAAACTTATTTGTTGGCAGCTGGAGCTCTAGCTTTGCTGCGTTGCTAACAGTTCTCCGCCCTCAACCCTCTCCCAATCCTCGACCCGAAGTCAGGCCTGGTGCGAGACGGAGACTGCCGAACTGCTGAGAGAGGTGGAAACCCAAAAGAAGGAGGCAGACAAGGTGGCCGCAGCGCCTTGGTGTTGAAGCCCAAGGGCAAGCTTGGGCGGCGACAGGGACATGGAGCCTTGCCAACCTGTGCCAACCAATTAGACACGCTTGGATGAACAAGCGTGAAACAGCAAAACAAAAACGGCCACCCGTATTTACTCGTAAAACAAAGCCTGGTTTTGTGCTTCCAAGAAGCTAGTTAGTCTTGGTGAAAGGTAGGAGGATGTGCTTTGGCAAAAGTGAGGCTCCCATTGTAAGCTGTTGTTTGTTGTTATCGAACGGGATAATTCTTTGGGCTGCCCAAACAACCAAACCAATTCAACTGCGAAAGCTCCCTTTTAGGAAGCTATACAAATTGCTTGGATCAGGAGATCTACGAGGCAGAGGCCTCCCTGAACTCGGCCACGGCCTCCGCTGAGAAGCTCGCCTCCCAGGCGGGTGTTGGTTGGGTTGCTTAGAGGAGAAAGGCGAATGAAGAAATCAGCTGAATTGGAGGATCCCCTCAGGTGGTTTTTGGATCTCTGTAGTGAACGCTGTTGGAGGACGTACGCTCCGGTCCTTGCACCATGGCACCTGATAGGGGGCCATTCGATTTTGAGGGGAATGGACCTTCCAGGTGCCATCCCACAAATAACACCTTAAGCGTGCCCCGCGATGCGTCGTGGGAAGGTCAGAATCATCATGCTGCTTGACTGCCACAGCAAAAGCGGACCCATATCGCCTGCGGTCACATCACTTACCCAGCAAACTTTCTGGAAAAGGCAGCTCAAAAGTGAAATGTTGGTTTGCAGACATGTGAATGAAACTCGTGCAGAGGGGTGGGAGATGGTGCGACCAACTTGCAAGCTGGCAGAGGTTTTCACAGGCAGATTAAAGGTCAGCAGTTGACGGGCTAGTCTCTCAATATCAACGAGTTCACGGCGGAGACAGAATGCAAAGTACCACAACATGCTCATGGGCCAGTTCTGAATGGCACACCCGAGCGCGCAACCGGCAAAAGCAAGGGGGACAAGCTGCAATTCGTTGCATTTTGGGGAGGTGGAGGCCTGGGTTTCAGAGGGCTCAGGACCTGTGGCTCCATGGTTTGCACCTCGCTTGCCGTGGCTCAGGTGGCACGCTCAGAGTCCAAGATGCAGAGCGCTCAGTCCCTGCGGGATGAGGAGCTGGGGTTGGGAGAGGGTTATTTCTTCCTTGGCTAACCCATTTACTTTCTGCACTGATTGCGTATGGGGCTTGCCTGGCCACTAAACTGAGCTTGAAGTTTGGGCAGTTAGCTTTAGCTTAAGGGATCTACAACATCTGAAACTCAAATCCAGCGGGGATGGCGCCTATTCTTGATTTGTCGGTAGTGTGTGTCAGAGAATGTTTCGCCGCGTTGTGCCACAGGCCCTCTAAGTCTTGAAACCCTTGCTCAGCTCGCAGAAGTGCCAGCCTGACCATAACCTGAAACACTCCCTCATCATAGCTGCTTCTGATTCGTGTTTCGTTTGTCCATTGCTTGCATGTTCAGCGTTTACGTTCCAGAACGCAGCACCTTGGCCAGATGAGCTTGATCCCACTCGGCCAGCAGTCAATCAGGCACGAGGGCCCATGCCTTTGTTCGCCAAATAGGCAGATCTTCCCCGACCGAAGCTCCCTCGCCGCAAGGAGAAGAAGGACTTCAAAGCCTCGGAGGTGTCGCTGCTGGACACCATCGGCACACTGGACAAAGCTGGGGAGGCGATTTCGGGCCAAGCACTTCAGAAGGGCCTGGCCTTGCAGCAGCTTGGCTGACATGTTGCGTTGCGAGATGGGAAGCAGACCGCAGCGCATTCTTGTCAACAAACAGCTGCTGGATAGAAATGCTACAGCTCATTGAATTGAGGCAGCTGCCATCGGAGGAGGCTGGAATACTGTCCATGAAGTCCATGCGCATGAAAGGGGGTTTGGCAGACAGCTGGTAGCAGGTTTTCTTCTTGTGGGCCATGGTAAGGGGCCGCGTGATGATCATACTGATTAGAACAATGGCACATATGGGGCTAGCGCATAGGTTTTTTGGGCAAGTGATTCGCGTGCAGGTGAATAGAGTCTCGGATATGCAACTCGGCTTTACTGCGAGAGCTCGGGTAAAGTCTGAGTCTTTTCGCAAGCCCTTTTGCAGTGGTGCTTTTGACGAGCCACGCCTGAAGAGATGTGGATTTGTGGGGATCTTTGGCTTTTTCTTTGGGGTGCCCCGCTGGATCCTCCAAAGAGTCGCACCCCACAGATGGGTTCTGAGGCTTGTGGGCCTTGCGGCTGTGGTAGACTCCGGCCGCGCGCTAGCCCTTCTCCAGGCGTGCCGTGTTTGTTTTGTTTGAAAGGGATCCTTTCAGAGATGAACCTTTACAATCTTCCCAAGCTAGCCAACAGGGAGTCCTGTCTTCTCATGTCGTGCCCTGGCTTGGACTACGGGCGGGCCTGCGCACCGTACACATTCTAAAGTCCAACCTCTGCATGTAAGCCCTGTAAAGCAGCAGCCTTAGCATGGCCGTGTGCCCTGGGCATGCAATCTGACAGGGTTCCCACCTGCACCTGGCATGGTTTTGCCTGACGTTCCGCCCTTTTGCCAACAACGTGGATGGCAGTTTGCCGCCCCCTTCCCCTTTCTGAGCCTCCATCAGTGATGCTTGTGGCATCGCTTTGGCCACGTGCGAGTCTTGGTGGCCAGGGCCTGGGCGACGGGTCAGACGCTGCGCCGGATGCGCAACTCGGGCGCTTTGATCTGCTGCTGTTGCTGTTGTTGCTGCTGTCGTCGCTGCTGTTGTAGCGGTTGCTGTTGTTATTGTATATGGTTTTCTCCTGCATGGCCATGTTAAACAACTTAATGTTAATTTGTACCGGCTCAAAGTCTCCAGACGAGTCAGAGTCATTCAAATAGACGCTAGCAGTGGCGCAGTATGGCGTGTTTTGTTGCTGACCTGGCGCATGGAGCTTCAAATCACATGGATATTGAATTGTAGCACTTGCTGTTGTTGAGTTGGTGCTGAGCTGTGCGTTCCGCTGAGCAGTGGGATACTGAAATGCATGTGGTTTCGAATGTTACCCACATTCCATGATGTGGCTCGCAGGCTTGCAGACCAGTCACACTGTTACTGGAACAACTTGTTCACTGCAATGGTTGCATGTCTCCCAGGCAAACCCAAGAGCTCACAGACCTTCTCAAGCAGATGCAAGATGAGGCCGGCTTGCGGTGCTAGAGCCGTCCGTTTGGTGAATATTAGGAACGGGTGCAAACGAGACCTTTCTCATGTAGGTCTTGAAAGGATACCAACTAAAACCGATTCGGTGGGGTCCGGATTTCAGGCAATCCTATCATATCCTTTCCTTTCGGCGTCTTCAGGCGGAAAGGAGCTTGGCAGAGCTACGACAGAAGGAGGAGGGAGGGAATCGGGTGACCGGGCACTTGCAACATGTGTGCATGGCCATATTGAACTAAGCAATGGATGTTCAAGGCAAGTGTGGCGCAACTGTCACTGCAAGCATCGCAGAAGGCAGTCAAGCTCAATCGACCTGAATGCCTTGCGCAACCATTTGGCGCCCATGAGCTATGTGCAAGGGCTGTGTGGCCTTTGCGTGTACAAGGCCTATCGTAACGTAAGAAAAGTGGCAGGAACACACCGCCATCGATGCTGGCGTGGTTTTCAGGGTGTTGCTTTGCAGGACAAAGCCGTGAAGTCCTACGAACTGCTGACAGTCATACGCCCGGTGGGCAGTGCTCTCCTTTGGGAATGCTAACTGGTGCAGCTACCATTGGCGAGCATGCGCGGATTTGTTGCTGCACAGGTATTGCTGGCTTTTTGTTACCTATTTGACACTGAGCCAAGCATACTCACAGGAGATATCATGAGCGCATTCAATTGGCAGTTGGGGATCGGCCAGGTCAGTGCTGTTACAGGTTTGAGCTCGTGAAGCTTCACTCACCAACAGTGGCGTTTGCCACATATGTCTGGGCAGAAATAATGAATGTGCTAGACACCCGCCATCCAGGAACCTACGAGAGGACATATTCCGGACAATGTTATTGAAACAAGAGACTTTGGTGACTCATATGTAACTCGGGCAATCTGCCGGCCGCATGAGGCATCGCTGCGGCGGCAGCTGGCGGAGGACAACCAGAGCTTGGAGAGCGCCAAGGCGAGCCAAGGTGCCGCCACCACGGCCAAGGCGAAGCTCCAGGGGGACAGGACTGACCAAATGCCTCAGGCTAGGGGCGGGTTATGCCGGGTAGTTGTGGCTTCCCTTCGAATTGCATTGCGTTGGCAGGCTTGGTTTCTGACGTTGGTTGCGGGCCATTGCGGTGATGGCTCTTTATGGAAAGCTTCAGATAGGTCCTGGTCACATTTGCGTTCTCTTCGAGCCTAGCGTTCTCCAGCCCAGGGGCTGCATGATGTATGAGAAACGGGTCAGCCGTCAAAAGGGAACCGCAAAGCTGCGCAGGACAGGTGCAGCCAGCGGCTCTGACACAGTGCAAAACACCCTGAAAGTCACCCAAGACGCATGCATGCCGCTGGACTGGCACTTAGGCCAAAGACAATCAACTCTCATTCAACCCTCAAAGGCGGGACAGCCCGGCCAACAAATTGCCCTGACCTTGGCTCTGGCGCAAGCTGCGTACATGCCATGCATCCGAGGCAGGCTGCAGCAGATGAAGAAGCCTCTGAGCAAGGCAGAAGGACCGCCGGTTTGGCACTTTTGGACACGTGTGTTTTGATTGTTTTGTCCATTGCTGAGTGGGAATGGTGCATGCAGGGTCCGACGAGTTCAAGAGACTCTGTGTAGTTTGATTTGACGAAAATGACTACATGTGCGTGTTCAATTTGCGGTGCAGGAGAGAGGTTCAGGTGCTTGCCGAGGCCGCGCGCGTGCTCAAAGATACTGCAGAGGCGGGAGGATGTGAACCAGAAACCACTCTGCCCCTCCATGTCAGTGTTTCAATGCGGCCCTTTGCCAGCCAGGGCAGCCTATCCTTCTTGCAATTCTCGAGCTCCAGCCGTTCCGGGGCGGGCCAAAGGCGGGTGACCGATCCCGGGTGAATTTGGAGAGGCTGAAAGATGTGCCTGCCAGGCAGCTGGCACATTCCGCTTTCACTTCCCTGGATTCCTTAGATGAGGATGCCAACAGCCAGGAGGAGTGGCATGTCGCTCCGAGAGATCAACTGCAAACACCTTCCCCGCAAGCGAGATTTGCCAATCTGCAGGATTGAGGCCAAGATAGCTCAGATTTACTTTCGGATCGGGCCAGGCGTTGTCGAGCCAATCTCAACTTGCTGATTTTTAAGTGCCCTTGCTGTGGGATTCTTTGCCCATGGAGAGAAGCCGCTGCGCAAAAGCAGATCGAAAGAAGGAGATGAAGGATAGTGATCACGAGACTTGAAATACGGCGGAGGAGAGTGTCTCCCGAATCCAGGCTGTCACCCTTGAGAGAATCGAGCGTTGTGCTCCAATGATTGCTGCTTCACTCTTTTTTGCAAAAGGCCTTTCGGGGCCTTTGCTGCAGACTGATGCCATGCACAGTGAGGAAGTCCGCGGTCAAAAGAAATGCCTCGCATTCCAGTTAGGCCTAGTGCATTGGGATTGCGGAACGACGTTTTGGGCTTCCTTCTACTACTTGTTAATATTCCTCTTCTACTTCTACTGCTACTACTACTACTACTACTACTCCTACTACTACTACTACTACTACTACTACTACTCCTACTACTCCTACTACTCCCACTACTCCTACTACTCCTACTACTACTACTCCTACTACACCTACTACACCTACTGCTACTGCTACTACTCCTACTTCTGCTTCTACTTCTACTTCTAGTACTACCTCAACTACCACCACCTACTACTACGAGCAGTTGGCAATGCTACTTCTACTACCACCACCAAATACCGCTAATATTAATTAGGAATGCTAACGCCCCGCCGGAGGAGGCCGCGGAAGCGGACAGCGGCCGCGTGGTGCTTGGGCTGCTGAAGCGCTTGGCCAAGCAGAGCCCGGTGCTGGCGCAGCTAGCGGCGCGGCTGTGTGAAGTGGAAAGCGTGTCCAAAGTTTTTGGGGGCCAGGCCCCATGTGGAGACATGCCGATGGAAGCAGGAACCCGGGTGTCCTCAAGGAAGCAGTTTGGATGCGTTTGAAAGTGGGGCGTTGGCCTTTCCAAGGCTGTACTCCTTTTGGAGTAGGCACGGTCCAATATGCAGGCGCAGCAAGCAACCCAGACACATTGCAATCCCAAATTTCCAGTTTGGCCGGCCCCCATCCTTGTCAGCCTCGCAGCCGGCTGGAGCACCCAGGCAGGAAGGGTCTCCTCCGCATTCAGAGCTGGGGGCCATCCCTTGGACTCTGTGCGGAAGATGGTGCAGGGCCTTATCCTCAAGATGCAGGCAGGGCGAACGCAGAGAGAGCAGGCTCATGGCAAACTGCAAGTGTGCAAATGTGGGGGTACATTACTTTTATTATTAGTATTATTATGATTACTATTATTATTGTTATTGTTATTAATTATTATTATTATTATTATTGTTATTATTTCCTTATTAATATATATATATATATATATGTATATACATACATACATTGCGACTACTGAGGCGGTACTTTTCCACCCGCAGACGAAGACGAGTTCCGAAGACCCAAGGCTCTGAGAAACAAACCAAAACCGTGAGGATGAATTCCAGAAGCCGAAGACGAATCAATTGTCGGCGCCGGAATGCCAGGAATGCGGCGTCAGGGGGAGATGAATAGATATACATATAGAGAGAGAGAGAGAGACGGATTTTGTGCCCATATACATCCTGAGAGAGTTGGAAAGACGTTATAGATGTATATGCTTGATTTTGTAGCTGTGAGATTTATTGATTACATGTGTATATGTGCTGCGCAGGTCTGGAATAGGGGTGCAGGTTTCCACGCCCTTGTTCCTTTTCCTGGGTGGGGCTGAAGGCTGGCAGGGACGCGTGCGCGGGCAGGAGCAGATGACTGCAGACGCACAGGAGGAGGCGTACTGCAAGACGGAGAAGTCTAGGTCTGAAGCCCGTGCCTCTTCTGAAGCCTCGGTGTGATGGAACCGCCTTGTACTTGACATCCAGACGGCTAATTTGCAAGGAAACTGCCCGCTCTTGAGGCCTACAGTCCCTCCAAAACACGGTGCAGACATCTCAGAGCGACACTTGGACCTGAGGTTGGCAGCGTTGCATGCCTCAGCCACATGGGTTTTGGAATGTAGCTGCAGCTGCTTGAAAACTTGGAGTGGTCTCATGTGTCTTGAATAAATGTGTGCGAGCCTTGGGTGAACCGCTGGACTTCACCAATTGCGGCTTGCTCTTTGAACCAATGTCTGAGAAGGGGGCTTGGGTGCCCAACCAAAGCATCTTCAAGGGTCCCTGGAACCCTGAATTGGTCCACCCAGGATATCACAAGGGTGCATCCAGAAAGTGAAGCCTGTGGGCTGATAAGAGGCAGACACCACTTTACACCAACCAGGGGTGATTGATTTGGGCGCATGTGTTGAAAATGCAGGCAGCAACATGTTTGCTGTCAGAGTCTAAAACTGTTGTCTTCGCCAATGACGGTACGTCCGTACCAGAAAAGTGTCACTGCAGCCACCGCAATCAGGAGATCGACCTCGCTAGTTCCTCTGCTGCAGTGCTCCGGGCGGAGATCGAGAATCAGCAGGAGGCAAGTACTCAGCCAGTGCGGCAGATTGGTGAAGTGAGTACCAGCTCCTCATGGGCTGCCAACCATCCAAAACAGCTCCTTGGAATTTGAGGGAATCCCTGGTGATTGGCTGGTGTGTGTTCCCACACTTTCTGCCCGCCCAAAAATCAGGTTCTCCTTGGCTCCTGCACCTTTCTAGCTCCCCTGAGTAGGGCCATCCGTTCACCGTCTCTACCATGGAAAGGAAACCCCCCCCACCCCCGGCTTGTACCGGTTCCGATCGGCGCTCCAGGAGTTGGGCACCTTGGCCAAGGAACAGGCGGAAATGACCAGCCCGCTGGCCGCAGAGCAGACGCTAGAGCAGCAGTTCACTCATGGCCATAGCAAGCCCCTACTGAACCCATGAACTCCCATGATTTGGGCTTGGAGATGTCGGGTTCAACGCCTTTCAAGAAGTGTGTCTAACATCAGGTCAGCAAAGCTGCAAGTTTGGGAGCTTCCCATGGCTGAGAGCCACCTCACAGAACTTCGGCGCATCACGACGCAACCTTCATTTGGCGCGGGACACGATTTTGATGTTGCGAACGGAAAATGGTTTTCCATAGGAATCCTGACAGCTACAACCGAAGTTTACCACAAGTTTATCGAATTGTTTCAACATGTGCCCATTCCGAGTCTCACCGCAGTTTTCTCGGTTTTTTTCCGGGCCGTGACCAGCCCGAATGTCACGCAGTCCGAATATGACAATTTTGTCGAACTTTAGCGGACCGTCCCCAGCCCGAATGTCAGCCAAACTTGATCGAGGTTCACCAGGCTGTCCCGGTTAAAAGCAATGGAGTTCCCAAGGCCATGTGTTCCCGCACGTTTCGCGCTCCATTCTCCGCTCATTGGAAGTGGTCGGAATGAATGTGTTCCAATTTGGGCGTTTGCAAGAAGGGAAGGAGGCAAGCATGCGCACACATGATCCGACAAAGGCATTCCAAGCCAAGTGCCAAGGTTCTTTGGAGAAGATGAAGCAAGACTTTGAGCTGTCCAAGTCCGACCTGCAGAAAGGCCTCCAGGGCATCCGGGCAGCCATGGACCAACTGCAGACGTACTATGGCGGCCCGGCCATGCGGGGGGGGCACTGGTTGCCAGTAAGGCAGAACCCCGCGTTTGAGACGTAGCCTGACCCAATGGGTTTGATTCACCTGCTCAAAATGGTTGGTCGTGTTGTTCCAATTGCGTTCTGAAAGCAAGGGTGTTCCAAATCCTCCTCTCCCCGCAGTTGAAATGCCACCTCAGACATTGCCATTGCCCCACTTCACACACTCTAGCCTGCAACGCTCGCACGGTCTTGTGCGCAGACAAGTCCATGGCCAGGTATTCAGTCCATGCTAGAGCCCAGGACAGCGCATGAAGCAGAAATATATACACTGCAATCACTGGCCACACACGGTCTAGTTTGTGCGTGTGCGTTATTTCTTTTTTGACCGGACGGCGGGCCGCGGAATTGCCGCAGCCATGACCCAAAGTCCGAGGATCTCAGCCTTCCCTGCTGCAGAGCTCCAAAGGTGCTGCGCGCACTGCGCTCAACCAGGCCTGCGCGCGAGTGCTCACCGTGCTTGGCGCTCTTGGGGGTTCATGCTGCTGTGGGCTTTCGCCAGGCGTTAAAAGTTTTTTCGCATGTGCAACAGAGCGGCAACCCAGCAAGCAAGAGCAGCAAATGTGTCCGCATTTGCTTTTTGATTGTTGCAAGACGGGTGGCCACAGTTAAGGGTAGGGCCTCTTTGCATTCCCACCGGCCCAGAAATGCCTTGGCGCACAAAGGTCGATGCTAACCCTCCACGCTCAAAGGACGGGAGTTCTTGGGTGGGTTGCGCCCACTTGCGGCAGGGCGTGAGGGTCTTTGCATGTGGTACATGTTCTTCAAAAACTTGTCCTGTCAGGAGTACTGAAGAGAGTTCGGATTCCGCTAGGGACAAGGCAGCAACATGACAGGCTTCATGGAGCAACATGGGATGCTATATGACAATAGCCGTGCGGCTGTGCGGGAACGTCACCCGAATTCCCCGGCAAAACAAAGCAGGCTCCTCTGTCCATCCGCGGGCTGCGCAGCGCCAGTGCCAGGAAGTGGCATTGATGGCGGCCTCTGTGGGCATGGATGCCTCTGAGGCCAAACTCTCAAGAGTCGCAAGTCCCGTGCACGAGGGCCGGTGAAGTAAGAACAACAGAAGCAATCGGCTTTGTGCTGAAATGTGGAGTTCACGATAGGATTGAGAGCCTCATCTCATCGTTGTCAGGGCAAGATGTAAGGGATAGTATGTGCCCCTTGGTTACTGCCCTTGAGATTTTGCAACATGACCGCAAGTAGGCTCTAGTCACGATGCAAGGCGGAAAGCGTCAGCGTGGAACATGAGGCCACAGAGGAGAGGCCATATCGGGAGAGATGTGCACGTGGATGGACTTGCTTCTCGTTTTTGTTTTGCAGCATTGGGGCAGATTGGCCTTGCAGAGATGGCCTCCGGATACGTGCTGCTTTTTGCTGGGCCTGGCGTTTGCCATGCTTTGAGGCCTGAAACTTGTGAGATGCAGTGACTGAAAGCACAACCAATTCTTAAGGCATGGCATATCCCAAGATTCCCAAGCCAATTGTCTGCAAAATGCTGGGTTTGCCCCTGGAGGTTGCCAGCTCACATGGATCCACGGGCAGATTGCCCTAGCATCCCCACCAATGGCTTGCGAAGCCCTCGTTCCTGTGGAGCTTCTCTTTTCCAGGAGTCCCTCAGCTCCCGGACCTTCGCGGCGGTGGCTGCCCTGGAGGCATCCACGCGTCATGTTATGCCCGTGCCCGTTTTCGCCCCTTTGGGCGGAAGAAATCACACGGAGGGTCAGCCAACCGAGTTATAGGGGACAATGCGAAAGTGGTTCCTCATGTGTGAGCGCAATAGATTTACGACGGGTGGTCGGACGTCGAGTTCTTGTTGGACGTTAAAGCAGGAGTAGAATCGGTAGATTGCAAATTCAACTGCCGAAGACGTTCGCAAAAAGACACAATTACTTCAGAATGTTTCAAGTCAACCCATCACTGATTCAGGTTTGTAACATGTGTTATGTGTGCATTGTTTGATTTCATGTGCTTTGCTTGTTTTATGTGTTTCATGTGCTTTCCAAGAATGCAGAACATATGTCAAGTAAGTTTACTGTGAATCCATTGTTTTGTAGAGATTTGTCCAAGTGTCTGGCTTTAAAGCAAAATTGACAGATCGAGTTGTGTTGTGGCCATTCTTTACAACATGTCTTGCTCTTTGAGCATGTTCCAAAACGGTCGAATCTCACTCTTTCGGAGTTTAGAAATTGCTTGAAATCGTACCCTTGTGTGATCCTGCCACCCCACCTTGCGAGAATAAAGACATGATTGACAGATGGGAAGCTGTCCCATGCGCAGACTGGCGGCTAAGCAGAGACTCAATCGGACTTTGAGGCATCTAAAGCGTCAGTGCTGTAGCAACGTTGTCGGGGTCCAGTTGGTTACTGTGTGGGTGGCTATTGCTGTGTGGTTGCTGTGTTGCTGTTGTTCTTATTGTGGTTCTTATTGTGTTTCTTGTTGTTGATGTTGCTCTGCTTCTGCGATGGTGCTTGTAGAATGTGTTTTGTGGGGGCGAGCGAGACGCTTTTGGTTGCAATTCAAAAAGGTGCTGCTTAAATGTGCAGCCGTTCTGACTGCAACCGCAACTTGTGGTGCTCGAGCCCGTCAGGCAGCACCTGTGCCTCCTCCACAACAGCACGTGGCTAGCATCGGTGCAGGCACAAACATCATCCAGGTGCTGCAGACCCTTGGCTCATAGAAGGGGGGATTCAAAATGTTGGCCCCCGACAGTGCTCATCAAGACTCCAGGCTCCTGTCCGATGTGGAGCCTCGTTTTGCTGACTTTGACCAGCAATGCAAAACGATGTTCAGCATTTTGGAAGTGGACAATTTTGCACACCCTTCCATATTTTAGACATGGGGGGCGGCGCCATCCTGCAGTGCTCAGTAAGCTGCTCTCCTGTGGTGTTGCGGCTCAAGCCTCAGCACACTCAGGAGTTTTGTTTGACCGGCTGACTGTCTTTATGCTGCGCTCCCCTCGTCAGCCACAAGTGAAATCAGCCCCGAGGATCTGCGAGTCGCGGTTCGCGGACAACCTGGCGCAGCTGGAGACGCAGGCGGGGGACCAGCAGATGCAGCAGGCAGAGCTGATGAAGCAGATGCTCGGCAGATTGGCTGCCCAAACCGCTAAAAAGACGGTCTGAGGTGTTTGGAAGTCGATTGTGTGCATGTGAGGGGGTTGCGTGCTGGCGTCAGACTGTGATAGGGCCAATCTTGAAAGGGCGAGGCACGTAGCTATATCTAGCTGAGCTTGGGACACCAGCTGAAGTTTGGGCAAGCCTGGGAAAGGTAGAGAGGCAGAGAGCGAGAGAGAAAGCGAGAGCCAAGTTGCCCAGCTGGTTGGCAAAGATCCGGGCTGAAATCCACCGACAAGCGTGCTATGCGTGGCAAGCGGGCAGCCAGACTGCAAATGAAGACCGGGGATAGCTGAGGAATGAGATCCTTCAGAAGCAGAAGGCCTGGGAATGCCAGCAAGCCTGAAAGCGGAATGTAGAGCATAGCAAAGTGTCAGCCCTGCCTTCCCCTACTTTGGGTGCTTGCATTTATGATTTCGAGCCACCATCAAGGATGGTCAGTTCTGCTAGCTTAAGCTTTTGCAGGAGATGGAAGTGGGCCGCAAAACCAAGGAAGCCAAGTCAGCGGAGTCCGAGGCTGGCTACGGGTTTGGGGGGAGTGTGGATGTGACGCGATCAGTGAGGCCCTGCAAAGTACCCCAAGGACTCTCGGGATTGCCCACCTTGTTGAGCCACATTCTCAGAGTAGGGAGCTGTGGTTTTGGGCACCCCTGCAATACTAACACAAATTCAACGGCCTCGGCGCTCATGCAAAGATTTGCAAATTGACACGTAGACAACCAAAGCAGTTGAGAAACCAGTGCCGTTGGTTTCCGCCTTGCTGCATTAATAGATGTTGCTATGCACTCCCCTGCCGTATGGGTTGTGGGCTCTTTCAAACCCGGTGGTGGGCCTTACTGCCCACCTCTCCTCCAGCCACACGAGCCGGGGCCAAGATGCGGCTCAGGAAGATAAGATATCTAAATTTCGGGCTGGCTGGGGGTGCAGGCCAATGCCAGATGTTCAGCCGAAGGTGCTCTCCATTGTCAAGGATCCTTCACTTCACTGCAGCGTGCTTCTCCCTAGGAACACAATTCCGTTTGATTGAGTCTTGCCTTGAGATGTACGTCGTGCATGTGTTGTTTTTGTTGGTTGGTTAGTGTTTTCTTTGTTTCGCTTGTTTGTGTTTTTTCGTTTTGTGTGTGTGTGGGGGGGGGGGGGGGGGGGGGGGGGGGGGAGGGGGGGCAAACACCTACCTTCGAGGCGCGTCGCCTCAAATCTGACCTCGAGGCGGCCGAGAACGAGCTGCAGCCGCTCCAAGAGCATCTTGGACTTCGCCAAACCCATGGGAACATGGGAACCTGCCGTGCTGTTGGAGATGACTGCCTTGACCCAGTCTGCACATTTTGCAGGGTTCAACTGCAATTAGCACGTTTGGATGACAAGACGCTTGGATGTGTTATTTTGAGAGAGGCTGGTTGCTTTTTCAGAGTTCCACTAGTTTCTACTTCTGGGCATGGCGGTTTGTCAATATTGGGCCGTGAAGCTGTTCCAAGATAATCAGAATCAAGAAAGCAATTTGGCGCGGCGAGAAAAGTTGTTATTGCGTTTCTTCCTGAACGTCTTCTGAATCTTTTTGATTGAAAGCTTTCACTTCAGGGCTTTTTCTGAATCAAAGAAAAAGGCCGGGCGTCAACGCCAGCCGCCGCGCGTGATTGCTACCAGCCGCAGCCACCTCCCTGCTACTCCATTGCAATGTGTCGAGATGTGTCGAGCTGTTGCGGTACTCGCCTTCGCCTGTTACTGCAACAGCGGACACAAGTGATTGGTGGCATGGTGTTCAAGAAAGACTCAGCCGAGGTACTACGAACAGATCAAGCAGCGTTGCGAGAAGAAGATCACCCGCGAGGACATGATGCGACAGAAGGAGCAGGAGATTGAAGGCGCGGACCCGTTTGCTCACCGGCTCGGAGCAACCCTTGATTTTCGGCTTACAATAGCTATACGTGACAAAATGGGAATGCATAATGTATTCCGATTCAGTTTCAGGTGCTGGAAAAGTATGATCCGCACGTCACGCCTTTGGATGGCCGCATTGGCACGCCCATAGCAGGCCTCAAGGAAGCGCTGGCGGTGCTAGAGGGTCAGGCAAGCTTGGCACCTCAGCATGCACCAGAGCTCATGGAACCATTTGGGGGGGGGGGGGGTGGGGGACTGGTCGCGCTCTGTGTCGAAATGGTCGGTTCCTCCTCTGGCATCCCTTTGCAACCATCCACCCCTCAGATTGGCAAAGCATCCTCCCCCTTGTGCTTGAGCTTGGGCTACAACAACTGCTTCCGGAGATGATGCAAACGGAGATTTGTGTCCAACAAAATCCATACCCGTTCCCGATATCTACTGATGCTTTGCTGGCAAGGCAAGGTCAATGCCTGTCCTGATCCTAATGAGGCAACACTGGCCGACCTCAACTATTGGCATTTCCACCAACGGAAAGCTAGCCCGTGCAAACACTTCCTGATGCCATTCTAGCGTAAGCTGATTTTGGTGCTGCAGAGGGTCTTCCCAGGAATTCATGTCACTGATGAAGTGCATATTGATTGCCGGGAGAGAGCCGCGTGAAACATCAGGCAATCTGGAAAAGTTGGAAGGCTGCGCTCATGACCCGCCAACGGCTGATATTCTTCTACACGAGAAGTTCACCAACTAATTCGTGTCATGTGTGGCGAAGGAAATGTTACCAGCCGCAGTCGCAACACGTCACTGTCCAACGGCCACCCCAAGCTTCGCATGCCGGAGCTCACCAATCCGAGGTGCAGTTGAAAGTGGGCCGCGGGGCATCCTTCCTGCAGCGACGGGATGAGTGAGTTGTTGTATGTTATGGTTTGTGTCTTGAGCAAGCCTTGCGAGCGCGTTGCTTCAGGAAGTTATGATGATCAATAGTCACTGTCCGTTGAGGCGTTGACATTCTGCACATCAAGGTGATGCTATATTCAAAACATTCTTTCACACAAATCAGGCGCAAATTGAAGCTTGCTGCTCGCACAAGCCCTGCAGTCGCTGGCTGCGAGCCAACATGACTTGCAGCTGCTTCAGGCCACTTGTTTCACCCCTTCCCCGTTTCTGCCCAGTTTTGGCAGAATCAAAATGCTGCTTGGAGCGAAGCTGGACACGCAGCCCTTGGAGATGTCCACGAGGGGGACAAATCCAAGGCTTGCCCGTCGCTTGCAGGAGGCAACTGCGCTTGGCTCGCTCGGCAGGAGCCGCACCTATGCAATGCGTTCATGGTGGCCATGTTTGCAGTTGGTTTCTTGATTGCCTGCGTGACCCCTCGAAATGGTTGACTTTCGAGCAAGCAAATAGTCTGGGAGAGATCTTCCAAGTGCAGTTGCCGAAAGAATTGAAGGAAGGAGTTCATTACTATTGCTGAAAGCTTAATGATACAGGACCACGCAGGCAGTTCAGACAGCGATTGGCGCAGTTCTGTGCGACGGTGCGACAGGAGGAACTGGTGTGTCCGGAGCTTTGATTCTTGATTGTGATGGGGTGATCGCTGATTCAGATGCTCGGAGCTGACTTGGTGTTTTCTCCGATTGGACATGTCTTGCGACCCTTTGCTTGGACTGTGTCCAGACGATCTGTTGTTTAAAGTTCGCTTTCACAGGAACAGATAAAATGCTGCCTTCTGGATGCAGCTGTGAAAGCCAAGGAATATTTGCACAGAGAGGCATATAACGAAGTCTTCGAGGAGTTCGAAGTAGCGACATCATGGTCCAAAGAGCGCGCAGCTCAGCAGAAGGCTTCGAGCACGCAAACCAAAGGGGGCCCAGCCTCCATGGTTGGGCAAAGTCGTGAACAGCAACTCGGGGCGTGAACTTGGTTGAACTCTCACCCTCCCAGCCTCACAAAATGAGTTTGTCGAAGAGGTTAAAAGGAGACCACACCTGCGCATGTGTGCAATCTGCATGTTTGAGATGTCGCCCATGCAACGTGGTTGAATGCCGTGCCCCTTGGCACAAAAGTATCTGATCCAAGGACACAAAAGGTTCAGGTTCTGAATCCCGAGGATAGGGTGATAGTGTTCCAATGTGTTGCGCGAAGACATCCCCAAAGACACCCAAAGGCATCCCTCAAAGACATCACTTCCTGATTTTCTCAGGCATGGCGCTGGAGAAATGTTGCTAGTGCCCCTAAAGGCTTCAGCCCGATGAATGTCGCTGGTTCATCGTTGCGTTGCAAATGCCAATGATACAGAGTTTCTTCGGAGCCGATTGACCTTCGGAAGCCTTTGAAGCGGGCCAAGGTACTATGACCGGATCTTAGCAGGGCAAGAGGCTCCCGTGAAACAAGCGAGCTGAACATGAATCACAAGGAAAGCGCAGAGAGCATGGTTGTTCGAGGCTATAGGCAAAAGCTGCAACGAGAGCGACTCTTGTGGAAGTTTTGAGTGAGTATGCTTGTCCAAAGGGGGGTCAAGAGAGTATGATTGGTCACCGTGCACAAAGACACGTGCTTCCAGCCGAGGACGAGCTGCAAAACCAAATTGGTGGAGGCAGCTTGGCCAAGACACCGGTTCGACTGGGTGCGTTTGACAGCCGGAATACGGTGACCTTCAGTGAGGCAAGCCCAAGATGAGGCATCACTTCAGTCAGGCGCTGAGAACTGAACAAGTCTTGGTGGGTGCATGAAGGTCCTTGAAGATGCGAAAGCAAGGACAAGCAAAAGGAAAAACTTCACAGGAAAAACAAAATTAGAAGTTATTATTCTTGTTCTAACGCTAGTAAAAGTTTTTCCTTCTGTTTATTCGTTAAGGGAAGATGTTCCCAGACATATTTATCTTGTTTATTCGCAAATTGACAAGCCAGAAGCGCGAAGTCTGCCAAGTCGTGCTCTTTTTGGTCTTCTGAGGTCTCAACGGCTGGCCTGGTTCAAAGTTGGGCCCAGCGCCTGATGACGAAGCTGGCCAGCGTCGACTTATCGATGCGCTGCAGGAGGGCTGGAAGCTTGTAAGCTCAGTTGGCAGCGGGTACCGCAAACACGGGGAGCTCATGCGCAGGATCGGAAGACAGAGATCTACCGCGATTATGTTTTGCCCTGCCCTGAGTGACGAGAAAGTGAAGCAGTACGGTGTTGTTGCTGGGCGCTTCACTGATTCGATGGTGGGACCTCTTGGTGTCCTAGTGGCAGGCGAGGGCGTGCTTCAGCTCGGCCTGGCATTGTGGAGCTGATTGATGCAGCTTTGGAGCGGCCGGATCTAAAGACCCTTAGCTTGCAAGGAGGGTCGGGTGCGGCTAAAAGGCGTTTTCTTTCCCGCCCAGGCAAACATGTGTAGATGTGGACGTATCAACAAAAGGCAGCACCGCACTAGGTTTCCTTCCCGCGGAATCACGCGGAAGGGGCGTTTCCAGACTTGCGTTCTGCTGCTGCGTTTGCTGCGACTTCTTTTCCCCGTCGTAGCGCCCACCTTGCAGCCCGCGCGTCTCCGTCGAAGTAGTAGTTTATTTGTCAACGAGTCGTCGCTTTGCCCGCCTCAGCCAGTATGGTTCTGGCTGGCGGTGAAGTTCTGCCTTGAGGTGAGTGAGTCGGCACCGACATGCGTGATAGAGGGTGGGTGCCTGTTCGCGCGTTTCCACATGGCTTCAAGCACTTCAACGAGAGCCGCAGAGAGTTAGAAGGGCAGTTGACTGGAGCCAAGGAAAGCCTGGGCTGAGGAGCCACAGTTGGAGAGAAGGGTTGTAGAGAGGAAGTTGGCTCAGGAACTTGCTTCAGAGGGGCTTGGGGCAGCTGGAGTATGGGTTTGGGTGCGAATTGGACGCACATTTTCTGTTGGGGAAGATCCCAACGCAAACCGTGAACACGAATTATTTCGCGGAAGCTACCTTCCAGTGTGCAGCATCAACTTACCCGCGGAAGGGGCAAAAGCACCTGGAAAGAAACATGCTCGCAGAAACTAACTCAAATGCAGTCGACTGGTACGTCAAAGAATCAAAATGCTAGAAAAGCTCAGAAGCATCTGTGCTTGCCGAGTGGGCGTTAAGCCAAAATTCTCCACCAAAGCCCGCCCCTGCTCCAAGGACTGCGATTTGCTCTGCGTGGGCCTCATCGCACACATTGCGCGCACGTTGCAAGCATATAAGGAATATAAGGGTGACAAGGGAAGTTTGGCACACCGACACACCGGCTTCCATTTAGCCATCAGCTCAGGCAGGCACCCGGGAGGCGGCCCAACAGGTGCTGCTGGCGGTCCTCGGGGACGGGTTTTGTTGTGGATAGCGCGTTCAGCGAGGGATCTGGGTTGTGTTGGCCCGTATGCCCAGCTATTCACAATTTCCCTATGGTTTGCAAGAGGAACCGGCAGCTCAGCTCCCCAAACCATTCCAGTCCAAGAGGTTCCCAAGTTTCCCTTTTTGTTTGAACTTTGACTGTGGGTTGGCTCGGTGCTGTGTAGCACAACATGTTGCCCCGCCCTGCCAAGCGCTCGACATACTTTTCATACCCTTGCTTAGCGGTTGTCACCAACTGCTGGTGCACAGGAGGAGCGGTTGGGCAACTTTGATTTGATCCTGCTAGGCGACGACGTGAGCAGGTTGGGCACAGACGGCCAGATGGGATTCAATCCAGGGAAGCGAATGATGACACAAGCCAAAGGTTGAACTGACAAAGTTGCCAGTGTCTGCATCGGACATGCCTGCGTGTTAAGAAAAGGGGTCCCTCTCATGGCCTCTCCAAATGGCTCTTTGAAGGAACCACCCCCGCCCGGTTTAGATCACCCCTGCTTGCTTTGCTGCCAAGTCAAAGCACCGAGTCACTGCCAAATCGAATGTTGGCCGATGCCAGCACAGAGTAGGTTGCAGGGAGCGGTGTCCTTTTTCTGGAGGAAGAAGCCGGATCCCTTGATCTACATCCTGGCATCGGAAGGCAGGAAGTCCAGACATTGCAGATGCTGATTGGCTATTTGCCAGTTGCATTCATGCACGGAGTCTCCTCTTCAAATAGATCGTCTGGCTTCAGACGATGCCCCGCAACATGAGCTGTCCCTGTCGCTCATGAGATGCCCATGATTCAGGCATGGCCGTGCCAGTGGAAAACTGCGTGGTCGTCGAAGACTCTAAGCCTCTTGGGCTGCAGTGTCAGGTCATTGTGTTGACTTTTGACTGCATTGCGCGCAGCATGGCCAGACGTACCTTGCAACTATAAGGATTGGTTTGGAAGCGGCGGTAGCCTGCCGCTCAGGAAGGTCGCTCGTGACATGTAGCCACTTTGGGCCGGTTGGCTAGCAGCCAGACCTCCGAGTTTTCTGCTCCAAAGACTTGCATTGGTTGGCATGCCCGCTTTGAGGGCAGAAAGCTTTTTCACTCTGGTGTCCAGCTGGGTCGTTTTGAAGGGGCACTGCTAGTTGTCTTCGTATGACTGGCCACAAACGCCTTGTCAGGCGGCAGGCATGAAGTGCTACATCACCTACACTGACTCCACGCAAGGCGTGGCAAGAGTGCTCGGTGGGCAAAGGAGTCGGAGCCCGAAAGGATTACATTCTGGAGAACTGGGGGATTATCACACATCGGCATGGCCATGTTGCGACAAACCAACTGGCAAGACGGCTCAAAACGGACAACGGGAGGCAAACCTCAGCCAAGGGCCCGGCAGCCAGGCCAGAAGTTCGAGGGCGCGGCCGAGGTGATGCCGGACGCCACGACGCTTGCCTCAGCTTTGGGATGGAATGCTTCACGCACCAGGGTGCTTGAGACCCAACATGCGAACCGTGCTGTGAGCGAATGACTGCCAAGCCAAGCTATTGCCTCAGTGCACCTTTGAGGAAGCTGAGCTTGGACCGAATGTTTCCCATGGATTCTGTGGAAGCGGCGTAAAATGATGTGTCTTTTGTGCTTGCGCGTTGCCCTGCGATGCGATAACCACCATCCCAGAAGTGCCAAAATGCATGGAAGCGTGTAAGGTGTCTATGTAGGTCTATAAGTTGATACAGTGCTGTTTCTGTGCATGTGTGTTTTTGTGTGTGTGTGTGTGTGTGTGTGTGTGTGTGTGTGTGTGTGTGTGTGTGTGTGTGTGTGTGTGTGTGTGTGTGTGTGTGTGTGTGTGTGTGTGTGTGTGTGTGTGTGTGTGTGTGTGTGTGTGTGTGTGTGTGTGTGTGTGTGTTGTGTGTGTGTGTGTGTGTGTGTGTGTGTGTGTGTGTGTGTGTGTGTGTGTGTGTGTGTGTGTGTGTGTGTGTGTGTGTGTGTGTGTGTGTGTGTGTGTGTGTGTGTGTGTGTGTGGTGTGTGTGTGTGTGTGTGTGTGTGTGTGTGTGTGTGTGTGTGTGTGTGTGTGTGTGTGTGTGTGTGTGTGTGTGTGTGTGTGTGTGTGTGTGTGTGTGTGTGTGTGTGTGTGTGTGTGTGTGTGTGTGTGTGTGTGTGTGTGTGTGTGTGTGTGTGTGTGTGTGTGTGTGTGTGTGTGTGTGTGTGTGTGTGTGCGTGTTTGTGACACACGCTACGTATGTTTTGCTTGCGTGAGTGTATTTGTTTGCTGTTTGTTGGTTGGGTTGGTTTGGGTCCTTCATTTCTGTCTTTCTTTCTGCCTTTGTTTGTTTGTTTGTTTCAGTGAGTCAGTGAGTCAGTGCGTGCGCACATTCGCATACGGGCGGGCGGGCGGGCGGGCGGGGGCTGTTGTGTGCTTGTGTTGTTGTGTGCTTGTTTGGTCCGTCTTTGCTTATTTCTGTGAGTGTCTTTGTGCGCGTGCGGGTTAACATGAGGTGCACTGTTGAGTGTTCAATCCTGGGCTCATGAACTCCACGCTTGCATGTGCCAGCTTGCGTTGTTGCATGCATGTGTTGCATGCAGTGCTCGAGCTTGGCGCTGCTTCCTGACGTGCCTCGGCACGACTTTCTGGGGTTGGAAGCCAGAGAGGGTCATGGGCAGCGGTGCGTCCAAGAAGAAGGCGGAGGAAAAGAAGGACGAGGCCGTGCCAGCCGCACCCAAGGCGGAGGAGCCAAAGGCAGAAGCTGCGCCAAAGGCAGAAGCTGCGCCAAAGGCAGCTGAGCCAAAGGAGGAGCCAAAGGAGGCAGAGGAGCCACCGAAGGAGCCAAAGGCGGAAACCGAACCAAAGGCTGAGGCTGCGGCTACAACGAATGACAATGGCAACGGGGAATCTGCCCCAGCCGAATCTGCCCCCCAGGCAACGGAAGAGCCGGCAGCACCCAAAACAATCGACTGGGCAAAGTTGGATGAGAAGCTCCCTCATGCAAAGGACCCAGAGTCGAAGAAACTTCGGCTGGAAATGTTTGACAAGATGGATGTGAACAAGTCTCGGCAACTCTCTCTCATGGAGGTGAGTGCTGGCATGGAGGCAATTTTGGCCGACTTCACAGATGTCAAAGTTGCAACTGTCATCCGCTCTGCCTTCAATGTTGCCAAGGCCAAGTCTTTGCATGGTACCAGCGAAGTTGTGTTGACACCTGTCCAAGCCCATATGATGTAGTGTCGCACCCTTGAGGTAGCTGGTCAAAAGCACGGAAGCAAGGGCTCCGCGGACTACATTGAGAGGAACGAATTTCGACTTCTACTCTTCTATGCGCGCAACCAGTCAGCACATTTGGTGTTTTTGTCTTAGCTGCTCGTGATTGAAAGGTCTCCTTTCTGCATGTCCCATGCATTGCGAGTTGAAACACGCTGTTTAGCTCAGAAGGTTGCCAGTCAGACACGCATGCAGAGAAGCCCGCCATCAGGCGAATACTTCACGTTCTTTCAGGTCTACCGGGAGATGAGCCCCGAAGGGGATATGCGGGTGAGCCTCGAGGAATTCAACAAGGCGCTCCCACTGCTGAAGGAGTGGGGTGTCGAGATCACTCCGGAAAATGCCGAGACGGAGTTCAAGACCATCGACAAGGCCAGCCTTGGCAGAGTGTAGTAGCCTGGCAAGTTGCACGCGGCAGGCGTGTCCCACGGAGGACATTAACCTTGGTTTGACACGTTGCAGGTTGCGAGTCTGAATGTTGGCTTGTAAGTCAGCTAGGGGAGGATCACCCCAGAAGTTCTTCGATCAACACTTTCGAAGGGAGTCCTCAGCAAAACCATGCTAGGATGGAAAGGGCCAAATCCTTTTTGACGAGTTCGCCGAGTGGGCCATGAACCACAATTTGGAGATCCCTGACACAGAGGAAGCCACAGCAGAAGCAACTGCTGAAGCAACTGCTGAAGCAACTGCTGAAGCAACCAATGCGGAGGCTGCGTGAACCAGCGAACCGTCACTGGGAATGTATCCTTCCTGAAAAGGATGCCAAGTCAGAGTTGAGACGCACAGCTGGGTGCGCAAGGCCAGCAAGGAAAGTGAGGGTGTGAAGGCGTTAAAATGATGCCTTTTCGCCCAGAATTGGGAGCAATACCCTTAAAGGGCAGCTCCTCAGGATTTTGAACCGCTTGCGCAGACACGTGCCTGCGCCATAGAAAGAAATATAGCTATGTACGTGGATGCTACCTGGGACGAGATGAAGTATGTGGCATCAGTGAAGGCTCTTCGTGGGGCCACATGTTGTATGTTTTTTGTTTAAAAAAATGCAGTTTACTTTATAGATTATTTTTATACATTTGAGTTGAACGAATACCTACACTTATATGTTTTGTGTTAAAGGAAGTTTAGGAAAACGGTGTTACGGACATTAATTTAGAGTTGCGTCTTGCGCGCAGCGAACGAATGCGAGAAAATATGCGTGGCATCTGGCGAGAAAAAATGACCCTCTGCGTGTTATGGCGTCTTTGGCGGACTGAAAGATACTTCGGTCTCGATGCCTGATGCCCATTAGCACGGCGCGCACTTTTCACCACATTAGCATAGATTGGATGAATACGACTTTATATAATTTAGTGTGCTTTATTGCGGCTTATAATGAATTAGTATGGCTTTACCAAAGTCGTTGTATTTTGTGTTATTCGATTCGTAATATAAACGAAGGTGGTTTAGTGCCGGATAATACGATGTAATTAACATGAATGTAAAAGAATGTGGTTTTACAAAGTTCGGTGGTTTGATTTGTTTGAAGCGAAGTAGTGTAGAATACTAGAGCTAATAATGAAAAGTATGTTATTTTTTGATTGTTTTAGGATATATGGTATAGTAAGATAAGGGTTTGTAGAGATTATAATTGTTTGTTGTAGTTGCCTTCGTTGTTTTTCTCGTCCGGGTTAGTTTTAAGTTGCCGAATCCGGTTTTTTTTTTTAGGTTTTGGATTTGGGTTTTGGGCCGGATTCCGGATTATTCTGGGTGGTCCGAAAGCGGATCTCGAATCCGGGTCCCGGATCTTTCCCGGGCTACGTTTTGGATGTATTTTGGTGGCCTAAAAATCGGGTTCCGGATCCGGGTCTTCGTTCCGGATTAATTTCGGGCGGTCCTAAATTCGGGTTTCGGTTTGGGATGGGATTTCGTCTCGGTATTTATATTGGTTGGTAGAAAATATTGTAGGTTGTCGTTATGTTATGATATTGGGTGTATAAGGAGAATTTGTAAGTTAGAGATTTGCGAATTGTAACGATTTTTGTTCGTTTTATTTTACTATATGGTTTATAATATTAATAGAAGTATAATAAATTAATTGTGGTTTGTTTTTGTGTTTGGTGTTGTATGTTTTTGTGTTTGGTGTTATATATTTCGATTGGAATTTTATTATGGTTTATGGTTTTTTCTAAATTGATTGGGTTTATATTTATTTTAATTATAATAATTTATGGTTAGATATAATTCGATTGTTTTTGTAGTTTGTTATATGTGTCGATTAAGATATTTTTTTAAAAGAATTATAATAAATTTTTAAATTTTGGGATATTTAGAAAATATAATAATTTTGGTTATAATTATCGCAAAAGGATTGGTAATGTATAATATAATAGGCAATTTAGCCTAAATTTGATTTGTTTTTAGTAATATATATTATTATTGTATTATGAGATTGGATTTGTATGCGATTTACATAAAGTAGTTGGGGAGTTTGTAGTCGTTGGTCGATTTTGTTAATGGTTGATTTGTTGTGGTTTGCTAAATTCGTGTTTGGGTTAGGTTAAATTGTTGAAAATAGGGATTGTTTGGGAATTGTAATATATATATATATATTGGAAATGAAGAATGATATAATTGAAATTGTTTAGGCAAATGCCGAGGCTAAATATTTGTGTGAGTCAATTTGATTTCTAAGTAAAAAACAAGAAATATGGACTTAGTAATTCAAAAGCTGTTAGGCAAAGCTTTCGAGCAAAAGGGAGGTTGAGGTAAAAGGAGTCTTATTGAATATATGTATTGGTTATTAAAATAATAACAAAATCTCGATATATTTAGGCGCCCCTTACGATCTCGTCGTATAGGGCAATGGGGATGTTATGAAGCAGTTTGGGTAATTGCCGATTAATTTTCTCGTGATAAGAAATTGACATTAAAAGGGAAAATTTCGGATTTAGAGGCAAATAGAAACAATCTCGAATAATAATATATCCTAGATTGATCCGGCTTTAATTGGATATCCCAACTAGTTATGTATAGTAGTTTTGTGTGAATACGTGGCGAGAGTTATACTAGGGTTATTTAGTTTATGGTGTTGCTTTATGATGTATTTGTGTAAAGGTGTGTTTTTCTTGTGTTTGTGTATGCATATGTGCGGAGGGCCCGTAGTAATTTTGGCTTGTTTAAATTATTCGTCGTGATTGTTATACGAATTATGAGGATATATTTTATATTCTATTAATGCCATATATTTATCTTTTCTCTTATAAAAAGGTCATTTATATATATTATAATATTAGTTTTTGTTATAATAATAATTCTTTTTTATTGAGAAATATATAATTGGAAAAGGAATAAATTATAGTATGTATTATGAAATTATATGTTTTTTAATTATTATATAATATATTATTGTAATTATAGATATATATAATTTATATATATAATATATTATATTCGAATATTTCTCAATGAATAATATAGGTTATTATCCGACCTTTAATGTTCGAATTTATGATTTAATGAATTTATTTTTTTTCTTTTGTTTGTTCTTTCTAATATGTTTATTTTTATTTAGATTTGATTATATTAAATAAGAATCTAAAAATATGTATAATGAAATTTTCTTATAGTATGTTTCGAGATTAGTATATTATAATACATATAAAATATATTTTTAAAAGATTAATAAATATTAAATTTAAAAATATATTATAGAATAATAGTATGTTTAAATTTATTGTAGTTATTTAATTTGATAATATTATATAAATATATATTATAAATATGTAATTCAAAATAGAATTTGATATATGTTTAATATATTTAATACTAATATTTAAGTATATCTAATAATGTATGTTCAAAGCAACAAAAAAATGAATGGAAATATCTAAAATATATAAAATATATAATATATATTGAATATATATTTAAATAGGTATTCTTTACCTAATTATGTATTTGATTTATAATATAATTTTGAAAATTATTATTATTATATAGATTATTATATTATTCCATAATTATTGTTACAAAATCAAATTATATTATGATAAATATAATTAAAATTAATATAAACCAATATATTAATATTTCTAGAATTTATATATAAATAATATATTTGATAATTAATTATTGTTTTTTAAATATAAAATTAATTATAATAATCCAATTAAATATTGATTTATTCTGATTTATCTATGATATTCTTAATATCAAATATATATTATTATTTATATAAAATAAGAATAATAAAAGAATCTAAAATATAATTCCTATAATTATATAATCAATAAAGTAGAAAATCGATATATATCTATATTGCTTATTTATAATAAAAATTATAATATATATATAATAAATAGATCATATATATATATATGTTTATATTTAATATAATAATAAATAATTAGATAGGTTTTAATATGTAATAAAGAAAATCTGGTAGTTCCAATAACGGTTCTCAACAAGGCTATACAGGCAAAATAGGCAAAATAAAAAGTAGGCAAAACAGACAAAGCAGACAAAGCAGACAACGCAGACAAAACAGATAAAGCAAGCAAAGCAGGCAAAGCAAGCAAAGCAGGCAAAGTAGGCAGAGCAAAATAAAATAGAGACAGGTAGGCAGAGGTTGGCAGGCAGAAGCAAGTAAAGGTAGGCAAAGGCAGAGGTAAACAGAAGCAGATAGAGTCAGGCAGAGATAGACAGAAGTAAACAGAGATAATCAGAGATAAATAAAGGCAGGCGGACAAACAGACGTAAGCAAGCAGAGGCAAGCAAACAGCCAAATAAACAAGAGACAATCAAACAGAGAGGCAAACACACAAAGAGATAAATAAATAGAAATAAGCAAACAAATAGTATAAATAAGGCAAATAAATTAAATAAAACCAAGCAAGCAGTCAAAAGCAACAAACAGAAGTAAGCAAGCAAGCAAATAGGCAAATAAATAAATACAAGGAAATAGGCAAAAACAAGGTAGAAGCAATAAGTAAGCAAAAATATAAGTAGAGGCAAATAAAAAACAAAATAAATATAAGTAGAAATAAACAAAAGTAAAAAGATTTTATAATATAGTTTAATAAATATACAAATACCATTAATAAATAAATAATAATAAATAAAAAATAATAATAATAATATATCAAATAAATAAGCCATACCAAATATATATTAAAAATATAATAATAAATAAAAAATTATAAATATATATAAATAATTAATTAAAAAAATCAAAAATAAATAATCAATAAAAATCCATATATTGCTAAATAAATATATATCAAAATAAAATATTAAAAACATAAACAAACACAAACAAACATAAACAAACACAAACAAACACAAATAAATACAAACATAAACAAACATAAACAAACAAACAAACATAAACAAACATAAACAAACACAAAACACAAAACACAAACAAAAACAAACAAAAACAAACAAACACAAACAAACACAAACAAACACAAACAAACACAAACAAACACAAACAAACAAACACAAACAAACACAAACAAACACAAACAAATATAAACAAAAACAAACAAAAACAAACAAAAGCAAAAACCAAATAAAATCAAACGAAAACAAGCAAAATCAAACAAAAACAGAATATATTCAATCATCACAAATATAATAATAATATATAATAACACAACCCCCAAAACCTCACCAATTTATATATAATAAATCAATATTTATATAATATAATATTTATCTTCTATAAAATAAATTAAATAAATTAAAATATAATAATTATATTTTTTTTATATTTATATATTATTCATAAGAAGAAAAAAAAACAAATATATAGATTTTAATATAAACATGATAAAAGCTTAATATATGTCTATATAATATAAAATAATATATTTATTTCAAATTATTTATTAAATATAATAAACCATGTTTTGTTGGATGTCGTAAGCAATCAGCAGCTTGTTATGGCTTTCGGACAATTTCATGTTCTTTCTCATCGTCTTGGGCCTGTGGATGCAAACAAATGCATCCAAGCCGTCATGGGAACTCTCTAACGCAAACAAGTGGCAGTGGACGATGAAAAGTGCGTTCTTGATAAGCTAATGCCTCAGAGTGTCTGAACGAAGATTCCTAGTCTCTATCTGATTTCTCACGGCCAATACCTTTGCCACCGAGCTTCGTGACTGTTTCCAGGCATCATACTCAACTTGCGATTCGTTCGGGATGTTCACATTGTCATCCTGCCATCACTGAAAGTGTTGACCCACTCTTGCGCCCCTCCTTCATGCTCTGGGCAAACCATGAAAAACAATTGCCTTGAGTTCACATTCTTTGCTGCTCACTCTCAACAACTTGAGGAACACGAGCTTAGCTCCAGGCCCGAATGATCCTGGACACCGCGAGGGTGGCAGCCTGAGGAAAAGAGCGAGAATCCGTCAAAAGAATCTCCTCGACATCTTCCTTTGGCCTTTGGGCTAAAAAGGTAGCTCAACATCAGCGTTCGCAATCTTGATGTGACACAGGAGCACCCCTGCCAAAGTTCCTTGCTGAACATGAAAGAACATGGTTCAAGAGTGGCTTGAAAAAAACAACCGCCCTGTGAGTGGTTTCTATAAGGATGCTTAAATGAACGCATGGGCAGACACATGAATGCTACTGGCATCCAAGGCTCCCTCAAACGCATTCTGGCCCTTCGTTTCCGAAAGAAGCAGCGCTCCTTCCTAGGCACCAGCAAATCAAGATCAATGCGCACTGGTTGGATCTGCCAAGTGTCTCTTCCACCTTTCCTTGGCGTGAGAGTGTGCTCAATCCCCATGTCAAAACTAATCAACACAAACACACATGGGATCTTGAGCGGTCGGCAACCGCATTCGTTGCCTGTCTTCCTGAAATCATTTTAGCCCAAAGGCTGATGAAGTAGCGGTCATCCAAGAGCGCCAGCAAGGGTTCGGCCCGGCAGATAAAGTAGCGCTGCGCGTAGACCGGCCAGAGTGCCTCAATTGCCAGGCCTGTGGTGTTATTTTCAACTTGCAAAAAGCAGCTCAACGGCTTAATGCATGTCTTCCAATTTGTTGGCCACAGTTCTTCCGACCTGATATGGGCCTGGTTGCTCGGCCGGTCTTGTCACGGGCATCGACAATCTTTGTATCCTGGATCCAGTGGCATGGTCTGGAAAGGTACCGCGATGCCAAACGCAGCGCTTGAGAAAGGACAAGGCATTCACGGAACTCTCTCCCGGATGCTCCAACCATCTCAAAACAAACCACTCAATGTTGGTTTGATGTTTGTCTTCCCCAAATTGTCTTTCAAGCAAGGGTAATGCATTTGAGGGGACCCCAATAGCTCCTCGGTGTCCAGGGTGATATTGTCATCGAAAAACACAGGGTGGTATCGATGGTCACACGTGTCCACCAGGAGCGGCTTGCCTGAGCGCGACTCTGATGACCCTAGACGCCGAGCTGCAAATCACCAGCCAAACACAAGCCAAGGCCAAGATGACAAGCGCAACCCAAAGCCCGCGAACAAAGATGCCCGAGCCCCCTGCCATAGGGCCCATGCTGCCCGCCTCGGACGGAATGGCTTTCCATCCCATGGCGACGGCTCCCTTCCGGCTTCATTTTGAAAACGAGTGAAATCCCCTAGGCCAGGTCTGTGAAGCAAGCCCGAAAAGGTGACCAAAAAGTGGCCCTTGAACGCGGGGCAATTCCAAACAAGACGACAACTGGAAAGGTGCCAAGCACATCTCCCCGGCTGCGACCATTCCTTGCCACCCGACTGTGAACCATCCCTGCCCCACCCGCGCGCTCCCATGTCGTTTCAGGTTGGCACCTCGCTGCCAGTAGGGGAAGTAGTCACGCAGGGCTAAGACTGAAGGCTGGCTGGTTCGTAGCCGCAGCTCCTGGAGCGAGAGAGGGATCTCCGACTCTCTGAGAAAAGAAATACAAACATCTGCTTTTACTTTGAGACGCAAGTCTGTGAGCCATTGACATCTTCCAGGTTCGCGTCTGAGGGTCAAGCAGGCAGAAACTAATGAGTTGAACTTGGATCTGGATGACCAATGGTGCGGCTATGCCTTCAGTCAGTGCCCATTGCTATCATGTTCAACCGAACGCCAATGTCTGATCCTCATAGTCTCATCAATCGGCCAAACAGCAATATAATTGCAAGTGTAACAGTCACCGCAGTTACGTGTCTTTCATCAATTGTTGTCTTCAGAACATCGCTCTACGCCTGTTGGCTTGCAACGAGGGTTGCTGTCGACAAGTCTTTGCCATCCAAATATTCCCAGCAGCTACTGTTACACAGTAGTCCACGTCAGAAGGGTGGGAAGCATGAAGTACAGAATGACTCTAAAGCAGGATCCACCCACGACTCGAGCAATTCATTTGCAACTCAACGCTCGCATCAGTGCCTCGCTCGCGCGTCTATCCGCAAACAGCGCATCAGGCCCCGTGACCTATTGGAGGTTGAGAGTCAGACCATTCACTGATGTGGCTCCCATGGCCCCCTTTGGCCGTCCTCTACAACTGCCTCTAGGCCGCGGCTCGAAGTCAAACCAGAGTTGTCTGGGTGGCTCAGGAACTCATCCAAGACTCCTGGACGCACCAGATCATTCAGCCTCTGCCACGGCGAGCCCCCAACGGCCACGGCGAGCCCCCAACGAACCTATCATCAAGCAAATTGAATCATTGGATTCCATCAACGCATTTACCTTGTCATGACATGTGTAACGCAACGGAACAAACTGCCCGGCGTTTTTGTTTCTGTGCGACAAAGTGTCACAAAGCCCGAACAGCAGTTTGCAAGTCATGCCCCTCCTCCTGCAGCAGCTAAGTCCTGACAGAACAGAAGTCTTCGTATCTTCCGCCTCTCCCTTCTCTCTCTCTCTCTCTCTCTCTTTTTCTCTCTCTCTCTCTCTCTCTCTCTCTCTCTCTCTTTGTTCTCTCTCTCTCTCTCTTTGTTCTCTCTCTCTCTCTCTCTCTCTTTCCTCCTATTGCCGTGTCTTTAAGTGCGACCAATGAGAAAGGCGGCATCTTTCGGTCCGCCTTATCACCGACTGCCCCAAGAGAACTCAAGATTGGGTCAGCTCTTGACAATCCCCATAGCAAACCCATCCTCGTCCTTATATCGAGCCGAGGTGAGGGGTTTCGACCTCAAATCCGGCGACTGACCCCTTGGGCGTCCTCTTCAAGCGTCACCGTTCCCCACACCACGCTCATGTCCTCGCTGCTTCGATACCAGGAACCTGCGCCGCCAAAAAACCCTAAGTTGCAGGCTCTCAACTAAGGCTCCTTTCACTTATGTTTTCCGTGCGGCTGGCCACGAGGACCCCCGAAGCTCAAGCAATTGCCTAGTGGCCTCTGGAGCTTCTGGTCTTTCAGCTCCCTGGCCAGGCCTGTGTTTTCAGCCTTCAAGCGCAGATCTGGCTTGCCTGGCTTCACGAGCTGAGCACGCGGATTTCAAGCGCATTGCCCGTGAATGCTCTTCTGACTGGATCTCGCTGATCCACGCACGCCCTTGTGCGGCATTCCAGGCCAGAAAACTCCCCGCCTTCGGCAGAACCATCCAAGCGAAGGTCTGGATACTTTGGGTGTTGTCCCGCCTGGGTCCACTTCCGGACTCACAGCAAGGCTCATTCCGACAGCACTCGATCCACACACACACACACACCTTTGTCTCTTTTTCAGAAGATGTCATGACAAACGCTTCTCCCTAACCAAGAAAGCGCAAGTGCTCTGGCCAATCACGCAGCCCAACGGCCAAGAGTCTGCCGAGTCGCACAAAAGGCATTAAATTCCGCCTGCACCGCGGGGAGGTCGGACCCAAAGGTCCGGAAAACGATGGAGAAGGACCGGCCCTGCCAGCCAATTCTCGTTCTGCCGCGCGTTCATGTGAGCTCATGTCAGAATTTGGCGTCGCCCCCGTCGCCCCGATCCTGTCGCCCTCTGAAAGACGGCCAAGAGGCCACGAACATGAGGCGTGCGGGTTCGAGGCGTCCGGCCCTGGAAGAAAACCCACCGGCCTTGTTGAGCAGCTCCACCAAAAGCTCAAAGAAGGCAGCGATCCTGCGCGCGCTTGCTTCAACCCGCGAGTGTTCAGTCCACCCGTGCGATTGGTGCAGGAGTTCAGGAATGTGACCGTGGTTCGGACCAACGATGTTGGACCAGTTCGGCATGGCTACCCTCTTGGCCCGTTGGGCATGGCTACCCTCTTGGCCCGTTGGGCCGGCCCTTTGGGCCGGAAGAAACCCCTCCCGTTCCCTTTGCTGGGCGCCCAGGCACCATGTTGGTGCCCACCATGCGGTGCCCCGCCAACGAGGACTCCAGCTGTTGGTAGAAGGGCCGCAGCTCCTCCCCCGGCTGCCCCGGCTCGGTGAACTTCTTCCACATCTGGCGAAACGAAGGAATCGAAACCTCATGTTGCATGGCCTTTCAAGGCAAACCACTGGAACCAAGTGAAGAACTTGAAGGAAAAACAACTCCCTAAAAATATTCTCAAAGTTGAGGAATTTCAGGGAACGCCATGCATTCTGTCCAAAGCTTAGGCTCCAAACCCTATCATTTCTGGCTCAGAAAAGGTGAATTGGTGTTGGGCTGAAAAATGGCAAGTACGCTAGAAGTCCGACAATTCAATGTAACAATTTGACCATGAGGCAACCCTGTTACTTTGTGGCACTCTTCGAACCTGGCCTGCTCCCTCTTCTTCTTCATGTCCTGAGGCGCAGCCAGGGAAGCCGCAAGGATTTCCAGCGAGCCCCCCGTCCAAACTCCTTGCATTCATATATGTATATGTATATATATATATATTTTGGGGGGGGAACCTCCTTCCGGGAGATGGGAGAAAAGAACCCTCCGGTCCTTGGCCTTCCCAGGCAAAATCTGCTCCAGGTATTCCAGGTAGCTGACCAGCTCGGGGGTCTCTGGAGGCCTGCACTGGGAATTGCCAAATTGGCAGAAGCTGAGCAGACACATTGAAAGCGGACACTTACATGTGGAAAGCCTGGCATTGCCGCATGCCCGTCCCGTGTCACGAAGGTCAGGCAAAGTGCCTCTTTCCAAGTGGGGCTTTGATTTAGCAGCAAGGGGTCGAGGGTGCTGAAGAATTTCTTTTTCGGAAGGGCCGAGCTGCTGGAGAGGCATGGGGCAGTGTTGAAAACGCAACACCGCATAAAAGGCCGCCTTACATGTTCAATGTGGTGGCTGGGTCAAGGCTCCCTTCCCGGGCCTGAAACAAACATCTGAGAACCTGAAACTGGTGGTGCAGAGTCGCCAAGCCAGGCCCGCACGGTCGCTGCTGAAAGATCTTGATTTGGACAAGGCCCAAGGGGCAGGATGCGTCTGGTCTTGTCGTACTGGTGTCTGAGAACCAACAAGACCTCGTCACGTGACCTTTGACCCGGGAGCCGAGCCTCACGGAGAGAGGTTTGTCGCACACGAGCTGCCAGCCATGCTCGGGGGACCCGTTGGGCGGCTTCACCCGTCCCCAGGCGCACTCCGCCAGGATACCTCCGCTATGAAGGGGGCTACCTTCATGCCGCATGGGTCGCATGACGGTTAAGGGATTCTGAGTCATTCTTGGCGATTTTGATGGATTGAAGTCAGCGTCCCTTATCAGGGTGCCAGGAGTATACCATTTCACATGTCCGCTGGTTTTACTTTTGATGCCCCAAGTGATTGGCTTGTGGTCGTAAAATCATGAGGACAATTCTCTTCTTTGAATGTTTACTGGGTGGTTTTGAGCAACTAAACGCAGAGATTGGGAGGGAATTCTCGGCGAGTGGTCCTTCTGCGTTCTGCATGTTCCTGTCGTCCGTCTACCAATTGTCAATTTCCTGTGTCGAGGCGTGGCCAATTCACCTATCTACCCCTGCACCCCGAGATCCGAGGCTCCGTTGAGGACGTCTGCGGATGGGATCCCCTGGATGGTGTCCTCAGCGACACACGCGGCGACCAAGACCGCGGGACGCTGACGGGCTCGGTTGGGTGGTTGCCAAGGAGCTCCTTGCCAACATTGCCGCGGGCTCCCTGTCTTGCACCGGACAAGTGGCACAACGGCAGGGGGCCCAAGCAGCCCTGGCTCATAGGCCAACACCAACATGCTCAACAAACTCCAAAGATGGGGCACGAGGATGGGTTCTGACAAAAGTCAGGCGGCAACAAGACTCTCTACCCCTCAAATGCGGCTGCACTTGCGGCGCATGCATAATCTGTCACAAGCAGGCTGCACCCCGCGCAATGTTAATCCAGCCCGAGCTTCTACCATGACAATGGTCTTGTTCACATCGAAATGGAGCACCAAGTGGGGCTGCGCCGGCACGCCACTTCCCGGAACTCCTGCAAAGGCCACGCGGATGTTGCATGCTTTGCCGAACCGAAACGGAAGCTAAATGGGAAACCCCGGCTTCAGGCGGGCGATCTTTGCAGTGGTGGTCTTTGTCCCTGTTCACATGGTCATGGCTGAATCATGGGCTAGCCTGAAACTCGGGCACCCTCGTTGCCACTTGAAAACCCACCCTTCGGAAGCGTCAGTAGGGAACTGCCCCCTGGTAGCTGGCACCGCGGCCCCATCGATCGCGCCTTTCTTCTTGGTATCCAGGGCAGCAACCTGGGGATCATGCCCCCTATGTGGCGGTCATGTTTCTTTCACTGACAACACCTCTATCTAAATCTCACTTGAATTGGTTCGTGACCCCAGTGATCAGGTTCTTTTCACAATGGAGTGACAAGTGTCTTGTGTGGTTGTTGTTTTGTTCTGTTTATGACGTTGCTGCAAAGCTCTGAGGAACCGCCCTCAAAAGCAGGACCAACATTCCTTGTTCCCAACGGATAGAGCCTTTCATCGATCTTGCGCCTTGCGCACAAGGCCCAGATCTTGCCTTCACGCCTTGAGCTTTCAGCGATTCCAGATCCAAGCTGCAAGCCGCGGCCCACTGCAGTTGCGCGGACCCCAGCAGACGCAGAGCTGCGATTGCACGGGCCCCATTGCGTCACGCAAGCGTTGGCATCGTTTGCTGATTGACACGGAAACACGGATCTCATGCCTGGTATTTCGAACGTAAGAGGTGCGAGCAATGGGGCTGATCAGGTGCAATGATGCCGCTTGTTCTCCTCGCCATTCTGCTATGTATGTTTATGTTTGCCCTGAAGACCATGTTTCATTTGACACCGTGCTGAATGACGTCCTGTCCGTGGCTTGCCTATGTGTCCAGAAAGGTTTTGCCAAACAACACGGAAGTGAAGCTGAGCCAGCAAGGAGACGCTAAAGCAATTGAGACCCAAGGGGGAAGAGCGGCACAGGTGTTGGCTGTGTTTGCCCCCGTCCAATCCTCCCATCTGTATCTCGGCACGTGTTGAGACAATCCAGCATGGACCCCCCCCTGAAAGGCCAGCCGCGCTTATTGTCCGAAACAAGACAAAAGCTATCTGCGTCTCACCGGTCGCCCATTGGCGAAGCTTCCAACCTGGGTGATTCCAATTCGAGTGTGTGAATTGCACCAGCCCAGGTATGTCTTGTTTGTGGAAAAACTGCTTCTGTTGCAGCTACCGTTGTCGACAGTCGCAACACACTGTAGACACCTGCAAAGTGCGATATGAGCCAAATTTGCTCAAGCGCCCCGGACAGCAAAAGCGTCACGCAGTTCGCCATTTCTACAAGTGCAAGGATGGGAAAATGAGAACACATCTTCTCTCTGAGGGCCGAGCATGTTCCCCGTGTATGCATAGCGGCCCACGTGGGTCATCTTTGCCTCGATCCCAACATGCTTGGGTCAGTACAAACATCGCATCATTGGATACTGATCAAACATACATCATGCTCAAGTGGACAAACGGCCGCTGGCCAACATATAATCCTCTAAGCACACCCCATACACACACAGCCAAAAGCGCGCGCGCGTGTTCTGAGTTGGAATACAAACAGGAGTGTCTGCTCCGTCCGGCTTTCCTTCAGAAGCCCGGCCTTGCTACAGGCAAGGTCCTTGCGAATTGGAACAATTGCAGCCAGCTGTCGAATCTGTCTGATGGCTCAGCATCATGTTTTTTAGCATTCAAAGAATATGACTTGAGCAAGCATTGAGATTGTAAAAGCACGCAATCCAGGTTGCTGCTCAAACTGCGACACCTGCAGGTCAAGCAATCGACTATGGTGACCTACTCAAGCAACGTACGTTGGATGGTCATGTGCATAGCAAGGTTCTAAAACCGATACTCTTCATGTTTCGAAACCTCGCCCAGCTATTGTTTGAGGTATGAGCATCAGCGCACCATGACCGAATCATGATGTACTTGTGGGGACGGTCATGGGTGCCCACGATAGGCTGGGAATCAGAGCACGTCTGAGTGTTTCTCAAAATAGGGGCTCCCTAAAATGGTTAGATACCTTTCTATAACGGTTAGATACCTTTGGTTGCCCTTTAAACACCAAGGAAGGGGCCCACCGTTTGAGAAATCTGGGCTTCTGCCTCCCGGCTGAGCATCGAGCCCCCAAGTCCGCCCAGATTTGTCCACCGATGTTCCGCCAGCGCCGGCAGAAGGCGATGTCCTGTTGCAAGAGTCTTTGGACTCGCGCCAAGTCCCTTTTGGACATTGGGGGCGCGAAAGCGGCCCACACTCGTGCGCGGCACCATGTCAGTGTCGGCAGTGCCCAGCACATGTACCCCAATGAGAGTCAGAATAAGAATATGGGCGTGTTTTTTGGGGTGGGTCTAAAGGGAAGCCAAACCATTTGGCGGATCCTGGTAAATGGATGAGTAGTCCTTGGGAAACTTGTTGGCTCCCATGCCAGTTTGAGGAATACGCTGAATGCGGCTCCTCGCCCAAGAACTCACCATTTTCCACAGCAGTGTCAAAGAAGCGCCACCACACGTCGTAGCCTTCAGAACTTCATGCCCGAAAGCAGGGAAGTTCCATGTCCAAACTCAAGGCAAAACCCAACGTGGCTCATGAAGCCTCAGTGATTAAACGGGTCGCCCGCAACTGCCCATCACCAAGTACCCCATGGGTGTGTGTGTGTGTGCATGTGTTTCCGAGGGTACCTCAAGGGAAGCCAAAAGGAAAACTGCCATTTTGGGTGCCCAACACCGATGGGATGGATGGACATGGGACAGCCCCGAACCACGCTAACCCTTGGAGACGGCAAGAGCGTTCTGGCTTTCCTTCTCAGAGTTCCGGAAGATAGAGTACTCGTGCCCATCGCTCTCCGCACCAAAGCAGCAATCAATTGATTGCCAGGGACTGTGAGGCGACCTAGTCAGTCGGCAGCTTACTGGGGAGCCCGGCACTGGGCCTTGCCAGCGTGGGACCCCGTGATGCGGCAGTGCATCTCCGGGTAGGCCTCCAAATGCAAGCACCATGCAAAAAGCCGCCCTTGGGCCCTGCTCCAAACTTCGAACAAGAGTGGAAGCGTTTGAACATACGAGTCCTGCCGAATTAGAAGGCGCGGGAACCATCGGAAGAGGATGGGCACGTATCTGGGTGTGTGTGTGTGTGCGGTGGTGCAGATCAGCCGCGCTGCAGAACAAGTTCGTGCCTCCATCAGCCTCTGGAAGACCTGCCGCTTGATCAGCATGCAGCCTGTTGGGCCAGCATCCACCTTCCACGGCTCGAAACGACAGAAAGCAGAGAGCGGCTACAACCTCACAAGTTTTACGCTGAGCGCTCAAAAGAAAGCTGGCGACAGATCTCTTTCGATGTCACGTTTCCGTCCGTCTCAGGCCTGCCAAGGGTAAACACCATCGAACGCGCCAAACCCTCCAGAACAAAAAACGCCTCAACCAGCGAGGAGCCCTGCGCCAACGCTGCTTGCACCTGCGGCAAAAGTGCAGCCAACCGGCGAACCACGGGCTAACATCTGAGAAATGTGCATTGTCAACCCAGATGATGCGAGCAAATTCGCACCACAGCTGAATTGTTGAATCTGTGGCTCTCAGAAGAGCTTGGTTGGGCAGATTTGCCTCAAACACAATCGTCAAGCCTGCTTCTCCGTTGAGACCCTTGCCAAAAGAATTAAAAAGCAGCCCAATCTCTCTTAGTCTCCAGGATGTGAGGAGGATGGCCTGAGCTGGCTGGGCATGCAGCACGTAGTGCAAGCCGTCAGCTAGCCTGTCCAATGGCGGGCGCCAAAAGAGGGCAGGTTGCAAACAAGGGCCCCGCAGCCCTCTGCGGGTTGAGATGGTCTGTCAGCCTTGAATTCCCTCATTCCAATTCAATCGGTCAGCATGTGTCAGCACACTTTAAGTCTGGTTTCCATGTTCACCTCTCCAGAATTTGCCGACCTGGCGGGGCCGCCCCGGCGCATGGCCGACTCCTGCATCCTGCCAAGCAAAGCTGGGAAGAGGCCAATAAGAGGATCAGACTTCACTTGTTGCCAAGCCACCTTTGTGAACCTGTTCAACCATTTCTTGCCTGCTCCCCTCCCAATTGACTGGGAAGCCAATAGTTGTGCCGGGTCAAGCAACCAATTCTAATCAGAATAGAATATGTCAAGGTGAGGCACCACAAGATTTTCAAACCAACGCACTTCACGTTGACACATACCTGCTCTGTGCGGAGAGATGACCGGCAAGCTTGGTGGGAAGCGTGCAGCTCCGAAGCCAATGCCCGGGCCTCTCTTCGTTCAGGCTCTTCGCCGGATACGGTGCCAGGATCACATCTCTGTCTGGCAAGATGGGAAATCCGCATCGGTGCATCAGTCCCGGGCTACGACTTCGGGGTATCGAGCGCGGTGCGGCGGTGCCCCTTGCAACATTGACTTCGAGCTACATGAGTTTGGCTGAGTTGGTTCCCAAGCATCTGGCTGCGGGGTGCTGGCTGCCGGGCGCCACGGGGCCTTCCCCCAGCATCTTGCGGATGGTGTCCACGGAGAAGGCCACGTCCGCGTCCAGGAACAGCAGGTGGGTGCAGTCCTGCTGGCCGCGGCGGAGCTGCCCGCTCCACGTGCACATGGCTGTCACAAGCGCAGCGAGAATCGAGCTTTGGCGATGTGGGGATACTACAAAAAAGGAAAACTTGAGATCTTGTTGTCTGATTGCCAATTGCATTTTGACCCAAGAAGCCTCCTGTTCCCCCGCCCCCCCGACATGTCCACTCCGTACTCATGAGCCCAGGAGAGTTCTCAGTGCCAGACTGTGGCAAGAAATTCCATGACTGCCTGCGACCGCTTGGAAACTATTTGACAGAGCCTACGCGAGGTGTTTGTTTTTCCAGCTTGCAAGCGGTGTTAAGCATGTGTTATTTTTTTTTGTTGCGGTTCCCTGTTGTGTTGCAAACTACTAAAGAGCCTTGCGCGTGCCCATGATCTTTGCAAAGTAAGCTTGCACCATCTGTGGAACAGTGACCTACCCCAGGGCTCGGGCGTTATTTCGACCCACCGTGATGATGGACCTCGAATCCGGCCACCCTGCAACTGGTCTGGCTGCAACAGCATCAACTGAGCACCATCTGTATGCCATGACCCGTCAAGGGACACATCTGAACATGCCAAATGCTAGGAATGAATTGAAACAGTGTGTGCCTGCTGCCATTGAAGCGACATCACCTCTCCCAAGCAAAGGAAAGAGACAGGGAGGTCATTGTTGCGTCCCACGCGGAAACGGCCGCTCCCCCTGGGCTCCCCCTACTGGCCGGCCACCAGGGAGAGCTGCCAGGCGACCTCTGGGGATTACACCCGGAGAAGCTACCAGAGGATCTTCTGAAAGAAACCCATCCAAACATTTTATGAACAAATAAGAAGAGTCTTATCCCTTTCCTATCTCTCATTCATCTTTCAAGGATCTCTAGTCTAATAAAAAATGCTGATGTGATCAACTCCTAGAGACAGAGCGTGATGATGGCGGCAATGAGCTAGGAAACGGTCACTCTCTTTTTCCTGGGTTTCCATTCGTTGACCAAACTTAGTTCTTTCGAGAATACAAACTGGTCCCGAGGCCTCCTTTAGCTGTGTGACCATGTTGATCACAGAAGTCATGTAGTCCACAGTGACCTGAGCCACACAAAAGTCCCACATGACAGACCCAGCAGAAAACGTTCGTGCGGACATTATGGGCGTGCAAGCCTTGGACACTCCTAAAAACACCTTCGATAAGGGCAGCTTTTAAACTCCCACGCCTGACCGCCGTAGGCAGGCGTCGCAATGTAGACCTGGCAGGGGTTGTGGGCGGGAGCACTGTCTCACGCCAGAACAAAAGTTATCCTTTCCAAGTCAACCCTCTCGCTTCGATGATTGTTGGAAAAAGGGCACTGGAGAAGGCAATACAAGGCCGCATCTATTTATCTGGCGAATCGCTGACATGAACCAGTGGAGCAACTTTCTGGCTGGATCAAACAACTTGACAATGGGCATGCCAAATGGATTCCAAAGAGGCATCTTCAGAGGACGATCCACGTCTGCGAGCCAGCAAGGAGCATCCCATCGCACAGTCCGGCAGCCGGCGCGGCTCGGCCTTCAAGCCATCTGGCAGCTCCCGGCCTCGCTTGCTTGCGAGGCGAAGAGATTTTCCTATTTCTGTTTCTACTGCAACCCCCTCGGTGGACTCCATGCGTGCTCTTGCGGCGGATTGGCAAATCCAGGTCCCCGGCCGGTGTATGGTCCTCGCATCTCGGGCGGGTAGAAGATAGGCACCTCATCAGCCACCACAAAGCGGCCCATCCACAAAATCCTTTGCTAGCATCGAAACGATTCCTTGGAATCCAATTTCTTGAGGCCGGGGCCGTCTTCGGCGAAGGCTCTCCAGGTTGCCTCAGATACAATGTCCCGTTCGAAAACGAACAGGACACCCGGCAGCGACCAATGCCACCCGGTGCCCCGCAACTGGGCCACACTCGCACCCTGACGCCGGGCGGCGGAGGGGTCCTTGCCGGAGCGGCCCGGGCGCTTGGAGCCGGAGACCTGGCAAGGTGATCCAGCGAGGCGAAGAGCAAGACTTAACGCTGGTCCTTAGGCCTTGGCCAAGCTATCCCGGCTCTTAAACCATTTAAGCCCCGTGTGCCTAGAATGAGTCAGCGCAGACCAGACCGAGGCCACTGAATTGGGAAGAAGTGTCTCATGAAACGCTCTTCAATTTGTGCCAGCACAACGCGACGTGCCCAGCTTGCCTTTTTATCATCCAAGAGCTTCGAGCAAAATCCCAGCGCGCTGCCTTCAACGCCTCTGGTAGACTCCCAATCGATCTCAATTTCACATGAACTTCAACTTGCCCTAAACCAAGATGGTCCAACACTATCAAGCAGAGAGCGCTGAATGTCGATCTGACTCAGATCGTGAGAACGGCAATCCCCCACTCAAAGCTGAAAGCGGAAGGATTGCCAGGATGCAAGGCTGCCAGTTTGGCTTCCACGGTTCTGTGCATGCCCTCAATTGGATCACTCTGCCCCTTTTCATCAACCATGCAAACCCAAAGCCTTGACACGCGATTGAAACTCGTTCTGTTCGCGAAGCAACTGTGACCTTGCGTTCCCCCTCTGCAAGCATCAAGTCTGTCCCAGACTTCAGAACCCCGAACTTCAGTCTCTGAGCTCTATGAACCCAGTTAGGCTTTATTCAGGAGGGAGGAATTCGCATGGTTTGCTTCGGCAACTTGCTAGCACAGCAAGCTCAATGGGCTCAATGCATGCCGCCCCACTTCTCCGCCTCCATCATGCCATCCAAAGCCCGCTTGAAGGAGCTTCCTTCGAAAACTTCAGCCTGCTGCCGGGCCCTCTGCATTTCCGCCTCGTAGCCCTCACGATTGCCAGCATTCAGCTTCTTGTCTGCCACGATCTGATGATAAACCCCATGGCAAAGTGCTCTGGAACCCGATGTGCTTTGATACCCACCGCTCCAAACCGTTGCATCGAGGGCGTTGCTGATGCTTCGGTGGCCGCTGTGGTTGGAAACGCCGCGCTCTTGCACGACTGAAGAGGTGCCACCCATCCCGGCGCGAGCTGAAGCTGCCGTCTGACAGGCCCCGAGCTAACATGCAACAAGAGCTTGAGCTGTGCGGGCACAGGAATGGCTGTGTGGGGAGTATCAAAGTCATCCGCTGAATCAAATCGATGCAGACTTCGTTCAGGTCTGCATGGTCTGCATGGGAGCTTGTGCATTCCTTCTTTCTCAACCTCCTGCCTTTGCCCTTAGCCTCTTGCTCTGCATGTGGCAATTATGGAGGCTTTGCAACCCGTGGGCCCACACCCGTGAGTCGGCACAAACTAGATGAGGTACGCTGTGGCTTTGGCCCCAGAAGATCGCTTCAAGGAAGAAGCTAGCCAAGGTTTGTAAAGATATGTAGCTTGGAGATGGCATGCAAGCAAAACTATGTTCACCAACCTGTGTCAGTGGCACAGGCTTGGCAGCAAACCAGCTGAGGTGTGCACACATTTCCCCAAACAATCAGCACACGTGATGGTCATCCTTCAGTTTCTCAGTTTCCTATCAGATCTCCTTGTGATAGGACCTCTGAGTAGTTCTACAGATCCTCATGTCCGAACAACCACCCGTACACGTGGCACCGGCACTTCTCCTCAAACACCCCACACGGCAGGATCGTCTCTTTTGATTCCCCCTGGGGAAATCCATCAATCCGGAACCAACTTGTCCAAGTCGTCGTCCCACTCGAAGACACCAATGCCTCACTACAAGATCAAGGAGAGGAGTTGGCGGGTGGAGGGAAAACGCCTCAAAGCGGGGACAATGCCCAATTTAAACCATGCGTCCAAGTTGATTGTCCGGCATCGGAGGGTGAACAGGCTTTTGCCCCAAATAGTCCTTCAACTTCTTTTACAATCTGTCACAACTTCATGCAATGCTAGCCTGCAATGCATCCAAGGAGCCAAATGGGATGTCCACCCTGTGCAGCGAATGAAACGACACGCGCAGACCGATTGTACGTGTTGGGCATCCCACAGTTGAAAAGACTCAGAGGCAGTTGGCAAACGCCAGTAAGATCCACTTGCGGTTCAGACCAGCCAGTCAGCCCAGCCTGTACTTCTCCAGGGCATCCATCGCTTTCTTGTAATTCTTCTCTTGGACGAAGCCTCTGAAGACCTCCGCGTCCTCGCGGCATGAACGGAGGATCCATCGGAAACAGCAAGGCAGGTGGACCACTGAGGATGCGACAAAAACCGGGAGCCTCCTTTTCAAAGTGCTCAAAAAGGAAGCCAAAACGAAACGGTCCGCCTTGCATTCAGACGGTCCCATGGCTGTAGGCCGGGGTCCAAGCCTCCCCGACACAATTCAAGGTGCAAACCCGGTGATGCGCTTTCATCCCGGAATCTCTGGTGCCAACTTGAAAACGAATGGAGGACCGCAGCAAGAAAGGAGCTGGCCTCGTTGCAAGCCTGGGGCATGAGATAACTTACCCCCCTCCCCTTCTCCTCCTTGAGCCTCACCACGGTGCCGTCTGGCTTGACGCCTCCCTCGTTGGTGACGCGGTTGGCATCACCTGTCACAGACGCGCCAGGGCGCCAGGCGTGTTGATGCTGGGACTGCAGCAAAGGCCGGAGCAATGTGGGCCAAAGCGGAACAAAGCCGCCAAGAAGCTTGTCTACACGGGATGGTTGTTCGAAGTACAAACAAATGCATCCCAGAATAATGTATGCGTCGTCCATTCATGAGGGTGGACAATACAAGGCTCCAAACTTAAACTGGCCCGAGGCTCCATACTCGCGCATGGAAGACACCATCTTCTTCAGCTTCGTCTCCACAAAGTCATCCGTGATCTGCCCTGCCGTTGCACGAAAGCCACACAACAGGACACCTTTGGAAATCAAAGTGCCAAGAGAGGAGAGAGCCACTGCACTCACGCAGTCTCGCCTGCATCCTTCAATGTCCGATATCCATCGAAAATTGTTGGAAGGCACCTGAAGGTCATGAAGGGCTACAGGCGTGAGTTGCAAGCTTGCATGCACGGTGCCTTTCTCAACTCCGAATGGGCAGCTGCAGTAAGATGGTACAGGAAACGTGCTCAGCACCAGCAAACCTCTGACCTGCATTGAATGAAGCACAGCATGAAACTGCTGCCAGCGGCACTTCTGCTTCTTCCGCAGGGTAAAGGAGAAATAATCCTCGCAAGCTCGGAGAGAGAAGAACGCCGACAAATGCGGTGTATCTGCGCCAAAATGACTGTCCAGTTTCTTCACTGCCAAGAATCAATTGGCCCTGCGATGGCTGAAGAACTGAGCAAGGGTGCAGCTGCTATGACAAAGGCCGACCGTCTCGCCCTGAGATGCCGGTGACTCATGGCCATGATGCAAGTAAGTGGACACTGGCCGCCACACATCTCACGTTTGATGCCAGCTGAAATGCGGAATGAAACCCATTCTGTATGCCGCCAGAAAAAAGGGTCTGACAATTGAAGCCTTGTGGTTTGCACCTGTTCAAGCCCCAGCATGCTACAATACCGGGGCGGGGGGACCTCTAAACGACCAGGGGGCCCCGGGCGAGCTTGGGAGACTTTCCGCCCGAACGATTTCCGCCGTGGCTCAGCGGCGGCACAAAGGAGCTTGCCGGCCCTTGCGTGGCAAGGAGGGCCCCGGCCACAACCAGGGCGGCAAGCCTTGGGAGGGAATGGGTCCCACAGTTTCAGGAATACCAGCTATCTGATTTGATTGAGCAGTGGACACGACAAGGTGGTACCGCCCCTCTTCTGGCGATGCGTGATGAAAACAAAGCAGCAAGTCAGTCAGGGATTGTGGTTTTGCTTAGTGCGACCATTCGAGCTGCGCGAACAGCAAGAGACCGCAAGGCTGACAATCTTTGCGGGGCCATCTCCACTGAGGCTCTGAATGTCATTGACGGTGGCCGTCCAGGCACGGCGTCCCAATGCTCCTATTCCGCCTTCAATCACAAAGCCGCTTCTGGCCCAGCGGCCAGCGTGCGGGCATGCGCGTGGGCATGCGCGCGCCCCTCCCGTGCCGTCGCAGCTCCATGGCTGACGAGATGCCACCAGCTGCGAAGCGCAGCTGAGGTGGGGACTGCAGTTGGCCCTTCTCCGTCCCTACCGCAGAATTCGCCAACGACATTCATCGGTTTGCAATTCACGTCTGGTGCCTTTCCTGTTGAAGGAGTTGCGGAGAAAACCCAGGCGTAATTCACCAACAGATTGCGGTGTGCTGCATGGGCGGACTACTGCTTCTTGTGCTGAGTTGTCCCATCTTGGCTCTAAATGAAGATCTCAAGCAATCGGGCCCTACCTCTTTTCTGTTTTGTGGGCTCTGCTCAGAGCGACTGGAGCCAATGGCTTCGAGTGTTGCTGAATGATTTGGGCTCCAAACAAGCTCGAACATGAAGCTTTCATTTTGTTCGCCTCCAACCCCCAAAACCGAAAAATTACGCCGCCGATAATAAGCCACCAAAGCATCCCACAAAGGGTTGCCAAATGAGGCACCCCCACTTGGGGTCTGCACTTCCTGCCTGTCAAAAGGCTCAACCAACCCGAAATCTGCAACCCTGCGTTCAGCTGCGCGCAAAGCTGGGAACTGCAAGCGACAAAGCATGCCAAGCGGCACCGCACCGGCGGGGGCGGCGGCTGCCAACTCAGCATCACCGCCGCGCGCTGGGCCCGCGCCGCCGCGCGCTGGGCCAAGCTTTGGGGCAGCTGCGCGACGGCACGGCGCCAGACCTGGAGACCCGAAGTGGCCATCCTGCCACCAGAATCGGCTGCGACCCCATGAACACAAGTTGACTCGATGCAAAGCCGGACCTCTCCAGACCTTTGGGAATATGCACATATGACACACATAAAGTCCAACCGACTTTGAATCGAAACAAGAAAAAGCAAAGACCGATGTTGTCAGAATACCGAATCACAGCAATTGTCGGATCCTCGGCTCGTTCAGGACTTACCCTTCCGTCCCTGCCCAAAGAACAAAAGAATCTGGCAGAAGAAGGTCCCAAATCCGCCGACATTGTTCGGCGTGTCGGATACTTACTAGAGGATAGAGGATAACCCCCCCCCCTTACCCCCCCCTTACCCCCCCCCCCGCCCGACGTCAAATACGTAGGGGTTTGGGGGGGGGGGGGTCCCCCACGTACCGCGCGGCAATTTCCCCTGCCGGCCTTTTTGCTGGCTTGTGCTTCCTGCATCCTTTTGCCGAAAACCTGGAAAAACTCTGTGTTTTTGGACGTCCTCTTTGCGAAAACGCTGGAAAAACAGTGTTTTTTTGCGGGAAATACTGGGGAGCAAAGGGGAAGTGCAAGGACACATACATACATTACATTACATTACATACATACATACATTACATTACATTACATTACATTACATTACATTACATTACATTACATTACATTACATTACATTACATTACATTACATTACATTACATTACATTACATTACATTACATTACTACATTACATTACATTACATTACATTACATTACATTACATTACATTACATTACATTACATTACATTACATTACATTACATTACATTACATTACATTACATTACATTACATTACATTACATTACATTACATTACATTACATTACATTACATTACATTACATTACATTACATTACATTACATTACATTACATTACATTACATTACATTACATTACATTACATTACATTACATTACATTACATTACATTACATTACATTACATTACATTACATTACATTACATTTACATTACATTACATTACATTACATTACATTACATTACATTACATTACATTACATTACATTACATTACATTACATTACATTACATTACATTACATTTGCATTACATTTGCATTACATTACATTACATTACATTACATTACATTACATTACATTACATTACATTACATTACATTACATACATACATACATACATACATACATACATACATACATACATACATACATACATCATTACATTACATTACATTACATTACATTACATTACATTACATTACATTACATTACATTACATTACATTACATTACATACATACATACATTACATACATACATACATACATACATACATACATACATACATTAACATACATACATACATACATACATACATACATACATACATACATACATACATACATACATACATACATACATACATACATACATACATACATACATACATACATACATTACATACATACGTTACATTACATTACATTACATTACATTACATTACATTACATTACTTTACATTACATTACATTACATTACATTACATTACATTACATTACATTACATTACATTACATTACATTACATTACATTACATTACATTACATTACATTACATTACATTACATTACATTACATTACCATACATACATACATTACATTACATTACATTACATTACATTACATTACATTACATTACATTACATTACATTACATTACATTACATTACATTACATTACATTACATTACATTACATTACATTACATTACATTACATTACATTACATTACATTACAACATTACATTACAACATTACATTACAACATTACATTACAACATTACATTACATTACATTACATTACATTACATTACATTACATTACATTACATTACATTACATTACATTACATTACATTACATTACATTACATTACATTACATTACATTACATTACATTACATTTCATTACATTACATTACATTACATTACATTACATTACATTGCATTGCATTGCAAACCAGTTGCATTGCCATTGCAATTGCATCATGCAACTTGCATGCATTGCAATCCCATTACATACATACATACATACATACATACATACATACATACATACATTACATACATTACATACATACATACATACATACATACATACATACATACATACATACATACATACATACATACATACATACATACATTACATACATACATACATACATACATACATACATACATACATACATACATACATACACATATACATACAACATACGTACATACATACATACATTACATACATACATACATACATTACATACATACATACATACATACATACATACATACATACATACATACATACATACATACACACATACATACATACATACATTACATACATACATACATTACATACATACATACATACATGCATACGTACATACATACATACATACATACATACATACATTACAACATACATACATACATACATACATACATACATACATACATACATACATACATACATTAATTACATTACTTACATACATACATACATACATACATACATACATACATACATACATACATACATACATACATACATACATACATACATACATACATACATACATACATACATACATACATACATACATACATACATACATACATACATACATACATTAATACATTACATACATACATACATACATACATACATACATACATACATACATACATACATACATACATTACATACATACATACATACATACATACATACATACATACATACATACATACATACATACATACATATTTACTTACATTACATTACATTACATTACATTACATTACATTACATTACATTACATTACATTACATTACATTACATTACATTACATTACATTACATTACATTACATTACATTACATTACATTACATTACATTACATTAGATTACATTACATTACATTACATTACATTACATTACATTACATTACATTACATTACATTACATTACATTACATTACATTACATTACATTGCATTACATACATACATACATACATACATACATACATACATACATACATACATACATACATACATTACATACATAACATACATACCATACATACATACATACATACATACATACATACATACATACATACATACATACATACATACATACATACATACATACATACATACAATACATACATTACATACATTACATACATTACATACATTACATACATTACATACATTACATACATTACATACATTACATACATTACTTACATTACATACATTACATACATTACATACATTACATACATTACATACATTACATACATTACATACATTACATACATTACATACATTACATACATTACATACATTACAAACATTACATACATTACATACATTACATACATTACATACATTACATACATTACATACAATACATACATTACATACATACATACATACATACATACATACATACATACATACATACATACATACATACATACATACATACATACATACATACATACATACATTACATTACATTACATTACATTACATTACATTACATTACATTACATTACATTACATTACATTACATTACATTACATTACATTACATAACATTACATTACATTACATTACATAACATTACATTACATTACATTACATTACATTACATTACATTACATTACATTACATTACATTACATTACATTACATACATACATACATACATACATACATACATACATACATACATACATTACATAACATACATACATACATACATACATACATACATACATACATACATACATACATACATACATACATACATACATACATACATACATACATTACATACCATACCATACCATACCATACCATACCATACCATACATACATACATACATACATACATACATACATACATACATACATTACATACATACATACATACATACATACATTACATACATACATACATACATACATACATACATACATAGATACATTACATACATACATACATACATACATACATACATACATACATACATACATACCATTACATACATTACATACATACAAACAAACAAACAAACATACATACATACATTACATTACATTACATTACATTACATTACATTACATTACATTACATTACATTACATTACATTACATTACATACATACATACATACATACATACATACATACATACATACATACATACATACATTACAGTACAGTACATTACATTACATTACATTACATTACATTACATTACATTACATTACATTACATTACATTACATTACATTACATTACATTACATTACATTACATTACATTAACATTACATTACATTACATTACATTACATTACATTACATTACATTACATTGCATACATACATACATACATTACATACATACATACATTACATTACATACATTACATACATTACATACATACATACATACATACATACATTACATACATACATACATACATACATACATACATACATACATACATACATACATACATACATACATACATACATACATTACATACATACATACATACATACATACATACATACATACATACATACATACATACATACATTACATACAAACATACATACATACATACATAACATACATACATACATATACATACATACATACATTACATACATACATACATACATACATACATTACATTACATTACATTACATTACATTACATTACATTACATTACATTACATTACATTACCTTACCTTACCTTACATACATTACATTACATTACATTACATTACATTACATTACATACATACATACATACATACATTACATACATACATACATACATACATACATACATTACATACATTACATACATACATACATTACATTACATTACATTACATTACATTACATTACATTACATTACATTACATTACATTACATTACATTACATTACATTACAATACATACATACATACATTACATACATACATACATACATACATACATACATACATACATACATACATACATACATACATACATACATTACATACATACATACATTACATTACATTACATACATACATACATACATTACATTACATTACATTACATTACATTACATTACATTACATTACATTACATTACATTACATTACATTACATTACATTACATTACATTACATTACATTACATTACATTACATTACATTACATTACATTACATTACATACATACATACATACATTACATACATACATACATACATACATACATACATACATACATACATACATTACATACATACATACATACATACATACATACATACATACATACATACATACATACATACATTACATTACATTACATTACATTACATTACATACATACATTACATACATTACATACATTACATTACATTACATACATACATACATACATTACATACATTACATACATTACATACATACATACATACATACATACATACATACATACATACATACATACATACATACATACATACATACATACATACATACATACATTACATTACATTACATTACATTACATTACATTACATTACATTACATTACATTACATTACATTACATTACATTACATTACATGACATACATTACATTACATTACATTACATTACATTACATTACATTACATTACATTACATTACATTACATTACATTACATTACATTACATTACATTACATTACATTACATTACATTACATTACATTACATTACATTACATTACATTACATTACATTACATTACATTACATTACATTACATACATACATACATACATACATACATACATACATTACATTACATTACATACATTACATTACATTACATTACATTACATTACATTACATTACATTACATTACATTACATTACATTACATTACATTACATTACATTACATTACATTACATTACATTACATTACATTACATTACATTACATTACATTACATTACATTACCATACATACATACATTACATACATACCATACGTACATACATACATACATACATACATACGTACATTACATACATGCATACATTACATACATACATGCATGCATACATATATTCATGCATACATACATACGAGAGAGGGAGATTGGGGAGAGAGAGGCTTGGGGGGATGGGGAGGATGGGGAGCAGAGGGAGGGAAAGAGGACGACAGAACACACAAGGGAGACGAGGGAGAGAGGAAGAAGGAGAAAAGGGAGAGGACAATGTCGGCGGACTGAGCCGGAGGCTCTAAAGTAACGAAACATCATGCGGGTTGAAACCGTCAGTTGAGGTGGAATTACGTACAGTGCATTCAGTCCGCGCACCAGCAAAAGTTGAACCACTCTTGGCCTGCGCGTTGTCGAGCACTTTGCATTAACACGTCAATGCACTTGGCAAGCTTTCTGAGCGCTCAGCCCCTGTCTGGGAAGAACAACAAGAAGTTCTTTGATTTTGATATCAGGATTGCCATTGGCCATCAATGCCGAGTTGGAAACTCCAACTGCGTCCATACTTCCAGCGTGAACCCGAAGGACCTTATGGCACCCCCTCTTCACAGCAAACAAAACAAAGAAGTTTGGGCATGGTTGCATGCTTCGTGTCTAGCAGCAACATCCACGCCCATAGAAGCAGCAGCGCCTGCAATGATTGTGAAATGATTGAATTAATCCGCTAAACGTCCGTACCCCTCCTGTGCCACCTGTGGCAAAGGCGGGCTCAAACGCAAGGCGCCTCCGTGTCGTCCGGCTGTCTATCACCTCGAGATGCGCATTACAAGAGGCTCACCAGCTCTTGCTCTCTTTTGTTTGCTCAGCTTTTGGCACAGAGCGACTGAGCGACTCATTGCAAAAACAACAGGCATATCATGAGAATGTGTCAAATATTTTCTGCACAAACCCCAATCTTTGGGGGAGTCGACACACGGCCATGTGAACCCAAGCAAAGTCGGGTCCGAAACCACCCCTTGGGGCCCGTTATGTCGGCTCCTTCAAAACCGCGACACCGGCCCTTGAGGCGCGCGCCCTGCGCGGCACTCGCGCAACGGCGGCGCACCCCCGCACCGCCACCTCGATCCACCCTCGTTCATGAGACAAAACCAGCCCTCCTCCCTTGCGCAGTCTGCAGGAAAGGTAAAAATCAATGCACTAGCAAAAGAATAGGAGCCTGTCTCCAACACTCAGAATTGATAGATGGGAAGGCTTGGAAAATGCATGACTTTTTGGAAAACTTGCCTATGTGTGGCCAGGTTTCAAGGAACGGCAAGCCAATCAAAGTGCTCGAAGCGGTCCATGCTCACCGAATGTTTGAGGACTGTACCCAGCAGCAGTGCCCAGGCAACCTGTGCGAAGTGCTCCGCCGCGCAGTGGGTAGAAAATGGGACTAAGAACCTTCCCCGTCACTTCTCCCACACTGCTGCTTGGTTCTGAAACGAATAAGGACCATCCCCGAGACACAAGCGAAGAGATCTCCTGCGGCCGGCCGCTCGGATGAGCGAAAGCGAAAGCCGCCCGCGCCTCCCAGTGCCGCGTGAGGCAGGACTTTCGGCGCCAGCCTGGCGGGTGTGATCTGAAGTTTGCTGCGATTGGGCTGTCCACCGGCTTGTTGCTTGGGGTGATGGCTTGGCGAGGGTGCTGCAAGTTTCTGGATCATACAACCTACGGGCCGACGGGTGCATCTTGGGTTAATTTCAGCAGCCGTCAAGTCTTGCTACTCGCCCTCCAATCTAAGGGCGGCCTCCCATGCGGCGCAACTATTGCCACGTCTGGGTCTGCACAGCAACAACCAGCAACAATGCTGGCCAAGCCGTGTAGAATCCTGGGACAGGACCAAAGTCCAGGAAATGCCCCAAACCCCACTCTTTTAGTCTTTTCGTTTGTGGCTTGACCCCTGCAATCACACTGCCGTCGTCCCCACCTTGCCCGGCGCCTCGCGCGCCCGGAGAGCCTGGCGCCGAGCCAGGCCGGGCTTCGGCTGGTCAAAAGGGGCTCCCCGCGCGGCCCATGTGAAAGGGGGGTGGCAAGCTGATAGTCCGACCTGAATCAAACCCCCTCGCCAACAGTCAACGTCCCTTCTACGATAATTGGTTGTTGAAAGCAACAATCATGAATCCTGTGAAGCCTATGAGGAAGGGCCGCCGCTTTCTTTGGCACAAACGATCTGAAAAGCTTCCGCCTCTTAATTGAGTCCAGCCATGCCAACTTCAAACCAGTCAACAAGCACTCAACATTCTCAGCCAGCGCTCCCATCGCCTGGCAGAGAATGCAGCACCCTGCAGTTCCGCCATGGCACGTGCCGAGAAAGCATGTCAATAATGTGTCGTGCAGTTGAATCTCCGCTGCACAGACTCTCACAAAATCTGGCAGGTGGGTTTCTAAGTCGCTTGTGTCCTGACAAATCGCATGTGGAGGTCAAGGGCCCACTGGTATGCGGCGTTCAGAACAAGAATGCTGGTTGGGTCGGCTTTATGGGCTCCAGCATGCAACGCGTGCGCCCAGTGGGATGCTCTCATCACTGCAGTTCAGTTGACAGAGCCACGGCCATGCACACTGTTGCATCTGACGCAATCGTCTGCCTCCTGACGGTCACCCCACCTCTTTTGTCGCCACAGCCTCTGTTGCGCTCTGCCGAAGTGCAAAGCGCCAAAGCGCCAAGTGGCCAGCCTGGACAAACAGGCCATGAGAGACGCCCGAAGACAAAGGCCAGAGCTCCAAAGATCGCGAACCAACTCCACAGGGGCGAGGAAAGTGCAAAGAGCGCAAAGGGCACGGCGAGCGCGAAGAGCGCGGGTGGCATCCTGGAAGATCTCCGTGTGCTCCAGCTTCAGGCGAAATGTTCGCTCCACTCTTGTTGGTGGCCGCGAAAACATTCCTCTACATATGACCTACTAGCCCCATCGGATTTTCCGCTGCTTCTTGGTGGCCAAGTTGGTCTGCAGCATGTTCAAGAAGTCAATCTGCAGGCATTCTTCGGGGGAAAAAAAAAAAGGAGAAAAAACACACACAAAACTTTTAGACTTTTTGACACAGCCAGGCTCAAAGTGGATTCCTGGCCCAGCCAACAAAAAACGAGCAACCGGAGATCTTGACCTGGTGCCCATTGCCGTCGGGCCTTGTATCGCCGCCCGTTCATCTCGATGGTAGTCTCCGGCTTCAGCTTGGCCCGCGCGGCACAGAGCTGCGAATGCGCGCTGGCCGGGAAGTCCATCCACGTCCCGCCCGCCTCCACCTGCAAGCCCCCGCAGCCCAGTTGCCCAGAGTACAAAGGTGTGCAATAGGATTGATTCTTTGCTGAGCCTACTAAGAAGGTGTCTTATTTGTTTTCTGACGTGTATATATATATATATACATAACATTAAAATCCTGAAGTATCTGAACTTTGGGCTCTCACCTGCCAGGCGCCGTCCCTCACAGGCTGGAGCGGCACGAAGGGATCCCAAAGCACCCGCTGGGCTGCTCCTGAGAAAGACTTACAGAACATTTCCGGAAGACAAGCTCTTAAATACAAAAATGAAGCAGAAAAACGGCCGGTCAAACAACCCTTTGCCTCATGTCCCAACCCATCCTCTTTGTTTTGGAGAGAGGCCGAAATTAAAATTGGGCCAATCTCCATGCGTTTCTGTCCGATTTGGCGTTTTTCTCGCCTGCGTCGTTCACCTCTAGCTTCACCTTGATGCCGGTGCCCTGTGGCAGGCCGTCCTTCAGAATTATCTTGGAGGCGATGGTCCACAGAAACCCCGGGGGCGGCTTCCGATCCGGGCCCTGCACTGTGTGATGCACCTTCGGGTTGGCGTCCTTCACGCTGGGGTACAGCACCTAAACTTCAAGCCCAGCACAAGCCCACCAAAAGGGGAAAATCGAAAATGACCCAAACACCGGCCAAACACCGGCCCAAAACACCGGATCAGTGCAGCCTGAGCCGGCAAAACGCTTTCACCCAGCAGCAGACATTGGCTGCCTCCCATAGAAAGGGCGAGTCGGAACCAAAATAACACCCTTCCATTTGATATGTGTCTCCCTTATAAAGGACCGTTCGTTCGGCTCTGGAAGTTGGAATTAGACCAGGCCCATCAAAGGGTGGGCCCAATGTAGCTACCGCATGAATTTGACCATGCGGCACATTGGCTAGGTTGGAAAAGTGGGACCCGGCTTGGGGAAAGAACAAAAGGCACTGCAACCCTTGCCTATGTTCAAGAATCAGGACCGCTCAACACGCTCGGCTTTCCTTGACTTTCCGTTTGATCCAACCGGCTGTGGGTCAAAAATAGGTGCTCAAAATGGAACCCTGGTAAGTGGAAACATGGACTAAAATATGCGGCCCATATCCTGGTGGTTTGCCTTTTGACCCATACCCAACCAACTTGGGCGCCACCTCCGAAACGGTGCTGTCGGACAAGGCGCGGCCTCGCAGCTGCCGTCCGCCAGGACGTGGAAGCTCTCGCTGCCGCCCGCGCCGATGCGCACCACGTACACGAAGCAAGTGCCGTCCCAGGTCATCACCTCGCTGCTCCACTCGTTGAAGCTGCCGGCGATGGAGAAGCTGGCGCCGGGCTGGGCCTCACACAAACACACTCAGCGGACAGGACCAAGAAACAAACACGAATTGAACGAAAGAAACCAAAGAAACCAAAGAAACCAAAAAAAAACAAGAAAAACGAAAGAAACGAAATGAGCATGATGCACAGTGATGGCAACACAAACGACAGCCAATCCCCTTTCCCAGGCCTTCTCTTCGGGAGTCAGCACGACCTGCTTAATGGCCTGGTGAAAGAATGAATCCGCCAACATCGCCCTGTGCTCCACACCTCCCAAATGGCGCGTGGGGGCGGCAAAAGTCGGGCCTCGCTCTATACCCCGAAACACGTACATGGAACCTCATCCTGCGTCCCCCGACTGTCATCAAAAGACAAGTTCTCCATTTTGTGACAGGTGGACTCTGGACTGCATCTATCCCACCAGCAAAGCCAGAAACCTGACTGCCCTATGCAAAAACACTAACACCTTCAAACACAAATTGAATCCTGAATATGGGGTGACCGACGAATTGCATCACTCCTGAAAACAACATCAGCCATCCGTCATCAAAAGCCAGCAAATGCCATGCATCAAGCACGCCTGGCAAGAAGGTCACTCCGACATCCACCCCTGACTTTGCCCACTGCTGGCAAACGTTCATGCTTGCAGCATTGACCACGCCATCACCGCTGAGCTCGGCGTCCGAGCCGTTGAAGTAGACAATGCCTCCTATAAACAGGAGCCAAAAACCCTTGCAAATGAAGGCGTCGTTGGAAGACAACCCCCCCAACTGTGTCACAGATCGATCCAACATCTTTCCCATCGCGTACGGTGTTGACTCCTGCCTTTGATGGAAAGCCCACTGTCCGAGACCATCGCCTCGTCGTCCAATGTGAGACGAGTCAACATCTGGGACTTCTTCAGCCGGACCGTGTTCACCCGAAGAGCGAAGGCCTTCTCCGTCGCGCGGTTCACTCCGTGTACAGCTCGGACCCGCTTGCAGGATGGCAGGCTGGTTCCCAAATGATCGTACCTCTAAGTTTCAGGTGGCTGCTCACGCATCTCGGAAACCCATCCGCGCACAAGAAAAAGCTTCGAAAACAATCGCAACGAATGCAGCCACGGTGCACGGGATCGCCCTCGTAGTACCTCCTCCAGGTCTCTATGATCCGCTCGGCGCGCTCCATCTTCAGCACTTGCTCCACCCCGATCGGCTCGTACACCGTTTTGGGGTCGCGGTGCCGGAGCTCCACCAAGGGCGGCTTCAGGCTGTTGCTGCCCCCCAGGTCCTCCGAGCCCACCCACATCTGCTTGAGCTTCCTGGAATGGGACACGCGCACAAAACCTGACGCGGAACCCCGACGCACAGAATCTTTGCAGGCATCTCTTGAAGGACGGCTTTCCGAGAAAAAAAAAAAAAAGGGAAAAAAAAAAGATACCAAATCCGAAGCCATCCCCCAAACACCCCCTTGCTCTGTTTCCCACCTTTGTGCCTCTCTTTCTGCCTTTCCATTCCGCATCATACCACCTCATGTGTGTGTGTGTTCTCTTGGAGGGTAGCCAGATCAAAGAACAAGAACGCAAGCCAACCACCGATTCCGCCGCTCCCATTTTGCCGGGAGCCCCGATCCGTGGCCCTCCCGCCTGAAGCTGAGCCACCGCACCTGGAGCCGCACGAAGTCCCCGGCCTCCGAGGCCCGGAAGCAGCCCATGGCGCAGGGCACGCCGCCGCCCGCCGTGCGCGAGATGGGCAAATCCAGCTCCACAAAGTCCTCCGAGCGCCGCAGCACCTGGGAAAAAAACAAATCACCCCCAACCCAAAGAATGCGACAGCAGGTTGGGGCAAACCGGTTGCCTTTTCATACAAGAGGGAGGCAAAAGGAAGGTTGGAGGGCGGGAAACTGCAAGTTGGACAGGACATGAGATATGCGAACCGGCTCGAACGCGAGTTGAACCGGTCCAACCACGGAAGGTTGGAAGATGCAATAAATATGCAAGTCTCAGGGAAGCATGTCCAAGAATGATGGCTCCAACATGTGCTCCTCCAGTGACAAACGGACCTGACCTGCCCGGCCTCCGCGCGGATTGTCAAATCTGCCCCAAGGACTAAAGCACAACTCACCATGCAACTGGGATCTGCCGGGCGTTGTCTAGAGCTCGAGTCTGGATTAGAAAGCCACGTAAGTGAAAACTGTGGAGGTACGCTACACTACACTACGCTACACTATACTACACTACACTGCACTACACCACACTACACGCCAACGCGTCGACTGTTACGAAAGAGCTGAGAATATGTCCTTTCTGCGCTCGGTATTGCTGCTGCTGGAAGCTCAGCAAGGGCAATATACCCACATCCAATATTGTCCTGTGCTTGCTGCTTGCTCCTTTCTTTCCTCAGAATATCAAGAAAGCCGCTACTTCCTGAATACAAGCAATCATGCCATTGCGTTTATGAAAGTTCTCATCTAGGGAGCTTTATGGCGAGTCTCGAGTCTTGTTTGTCTTGGGCAGCCCAATATTGACCTTTGCCGCCTTTATCCATGCCGCAGTTCCTCCAGCCATCTGCCAAGGCCCTTTTGGTGGCCACATACTTTTTCATTGCACCCAACCAAACCCTTACCTAAACCAACCAACTCCCACCCCCCCTGGTAACCCTCCGTCCCGTCCCTGCCTCCAAAGGCAGCGGCTCGGTGTGCGCCTTGGGCAGACCCCAGCTCCGCCGGTGGTGGGCCGCCTCCTCTGCCAGCATCACCCCGGCGGCCAGGCCCTCCCCCACGCGCTTCAGCCAGTGCTCCGGCTCGTCCCGGGCCATGCCCTGCGGATAGGGCTCCACTTCACCCCGTAGACTCAAACCCGGAAGGTTCTTTGGGGACATCAGCCACCGGGTTTAAGTCTATCGTGGGGTAGGATGGGTAGGCAAAAAGTGGAGCCCTGCTACGGCTCCCAGCCGGGGTTGACGATGGAGTCCGGTGATGAACTTTGAAAAAGCACAAGAGGCGGGCAAGAACTTGTTGTCATGGTCCCAAATCAAGTGACGAGCTATTCCCTGCTGTGTAGATTAATTTGCCACATGCATCACAATAAATGACATGTTGAGGATGCTAAGCTCTGACTTGAGGCATCTGGGTCTTGAAGGATGTTTGCAGTGCGTAATACAAAAAGTACTCACCAAACGTCCAGCCGCCCCTGTTCGGGTTGTATGACATAATATGCGAGAAACAAACGTGGGTTACCGGACCAGGTGATTAGTCCGAGATTGGATTGGTGGATCTTGCGGTGTCGGACCTCGAGGACCTGATGCATTCATTCTTGAAGGCCCTGAAACTTTGCTCTTTCCATGTCACTACTTGGCCATGGGTTAAATCCAAATCGAACCGATGCCAGCCCCGGCGAGGCGCCTTCTCCTTGATGATGGCCTTGATGGAGGCACCCGGAGGCAACTCCTCGTCGCGTCACACACACACACAGTCACACACACACACACACACACATACACTCATGACTCATAAGCGCGCCTGAGAGGTAGTCTGACGCATAAACGGCCATTCGTGGGTAAGGCGGCCCCAATTTGGCCACAGCAAACCTACGCCTGTGTTGGCACTAGCTTCACAAAAACACCACATTCCTGAAGCCTCAATCTTGAAACCAGCAGCAGCTTCTCCCAGTTCACCATGGATCTGGGCTTAAACAACACTTGGCCGATGGGGCCACACCACCAGGTTCCGGGAACCTCTCCCTCCCCATGCTCCACGGCCTCAGGGCCGCCGAACTGCAAGAAGTTCTCGCTGGCATCGAAGGTGGCCACGCTTCCGTCGAAGGACTTGGCGGAGTTGGTGCTCAGACTCTCCACTTTCCCGCAAGCGCCCCAGCACACCTCGCAAGGCGAGGTGTCAAATACACAAGCTGAAATGTGGTGCATGCTTCGCAGGCGATTCTTTGAAAGTGTGATTCGGGCACGAGCCTGTGCCCAGGCAATGGGTAAGTTGGGGTAAACAAGCCACAAAAGAAAGGTTCCCCAAAAGCAAACCAATCCCCGGTCCCAAAGATCAGGGTTTCCCACACACCAGAGAACAACAACCAAAAGGGAAAAGAGTTAACCCGCAACCTTGATCGACGACAGGCCGCACGAATGGTCCCTACCAACCTGACGGCAGCCCGAGGTCTCTTTCTCCCCCGAGACGTCGTCGGTCGACGCAGGGGTTCGGCGACGCCCATCCGAGGCGCGACGGAACCCGTGAAAACTTGAGCCAAACACCACCGGTCAGTCACTATCGCGACATCCCTGGTGATGGTTTATGACATGGCTAATCACACCCCCCTCACGAGGAGCCCGTCATATGACGGGTGGAGCGTGCCATTTACTGATAGGATTTAACTGCTCGCATGTATCCGCAAACAGCTGGACACTACCGCCGTCAGCGGTGGAGCAAACCCACAAAGGCAGTTGCGCGACGTCCCGGGCATTAAAATCCCGCCACCACCCCGAATTAATCGGGGTAACGCTGTCCAACATACCTCGTGGAAAAGTCCACATGACGGCACTAGGCCACAGCTGTTTGCATCAACAATGCAAGTAGTTCAATTCTTATCAGAAGCCATGAAACAAAGGATAACGTATGTTCATCAGTACCCTCGCCTATCGGCAAGAGGTGCCCCTGACCATGCACCTGAAAAATACTTGAATTTCGCATACCCGGGAGTACCCCCCCATCAGTTTGCTTCCCCTCTCACTCACACAACTTCATGTTGAGCACGACCAGCAGCCAAGCAGCGGTACGGGAGAGACACGATCTCCGCGCCTCAGCGGTTCGGGAGGAACATCACCACCTCCCCACCGCGCCAACCATCGGAGAATGGACGCAAGCCTATCGGCTGCAATCCTCGTGACTCAGCCTACCGGCTATCGTCACGTCTCCTCCGGTCACGTCCGCCCCGCGCACGGTCCCTATCACGATCTCTCTCGGATCTCCTGCGATCATCTCGCCTTCGATCCCGCTCCCGATCGTGTGATTCATCATCACGACGATCTCGAGCATCGTCCCTCCTCCGGTCACGATCTTCGTTGCGCCGCGGACGGTATCTGCGCCTTCTCGATTCTCGGGAATCCCTGGAGTCCACGGTCCTAACGGACCTCCGAGATGGAGTGCGGGAGACGTCCGAGTCCCTGCGTCTCCTCCCAGAACGAGAGTTCGTCACGATCTGATTGAGAGCCTCCAGTGCTGAAGCTTCTTCACCATTTCTGATGAACTCCCTGACCTGCCTGTTCAGCACTCTATTGGTAGAAACCGACAGGAGAGCGTCCACCACCGAACTCTCAGGCAGCGCTAGAAAGTGACCTTCTACCGGACTCGCCGCAATTCGTTCAGCCGACTGCAACCTGACCTCCCCACTTTCAGGCTTCTTTGCCATTGCCTTGGAGGCCGTCAGAGGTGCTACCGCGTCCTTTGCCGAAGACCTACCAAGTGCAGAGTGAAGATCATCCCCACTAGCCTCTCTTGCTGCCGCACCTGGTCTGCTGTCAACGTCATCAGGCCTTGTCGATGCCTCCCGCTTCGTCGACTCCTTCACAGTCTCGTCAGGATCCCAACGGGACTTCCTTTCTCTCTTCTGCCCTTCAGCTGAGCCTCGACTACCGCCGGGAGCATCAGCACCGCCTACCTTCTCCTTCTTGACTTCAACTTTCGGGTCGGCCTGCTTCGTCCCCTTAGGCTCAGCCTTCGGGGCTGAAGCACTCTTCGCCTCAGTCACTGAGGCAGCCCTTCCCTTCGGCTCAGCCTTTGGGACCGGAGTCATCTTTGCCTTTGCACTTGGCCGGGCTCCTTCAACCGCTATCGCGACCCAAGTCTTCTTTGGTTGAGCCACAGGGGTATCAACCTCCATCGGAGCCGGCCCTGCATCAGCTTTCGCTTTCGCCTGTGGGACAGAAGGACTATCGCCCTTACCAGACCCTTTCTCTGGCGCTTCACCTGACTTTGGTGGTGGGCCGGAAGGACTACCGCCCTTACCGCCCTTCTCTCCTTTCTTTCCTTTTCCTTTCCCGCCCTTGACGATCGGCTCCTGCTTCGGACCAGGACCCTGCGCAGCATGATGCACCGACTGGAGCTCTTCAACGTTCACATCCAGCGGCTCCGGCTGACGACCATCAAGAATCGTCCTCACCCTTTCGTCACTAACGTAGACGAACGGATCACGGAAGGGAGCAGGAGGCTCTGATTGCCCAGCACTGATTGCCTTCTGCACTTTGGCTACCGCCTCCCTCAATCTCTTTTCTCGTCGTATCCTGTTGCCGAGACCATGTAGTTCCTGAGATCCGTCATCAAGACGTGGCTAGCCAGTATGTCTGCATCCTTCCTGTGGGTCGGATACAAGGGAGTCAGATGACCAGCCGCAGCACCAATCACGTACGCCATTGGGATATAGAAAGACAGATAAGTGTCGTGGCGGGCGAACTTCCTAACGGAAGTCGTCATACGCCTACCCCATTGGGCCGCATGAATCGGATTTGCCCGGAAATACTCAGTGACCGAATCAAATCTTGATGAGGTGCTTCGCCACCCACTTCTCCACGCACGCGTCCGAGGCCGAAATCCCAGACACATAGGAGAACTGAAATAGCACCTTCGCCAGCTCATCCCACGCCGCATCAACTCCTCCCTTGTCCTCACCAAGATAAGGGGGCAGTCTGATGCCGCTCTGCACCGTCATCCTCAGGTCAGACGCCATCGAATAGGAAATCAAATTCCTCTTGATAACTCCGACCACCTCGGCTGGGATCCTCTTGGGCTTGAACTGCCTCATACTCTTCACCCAGTTCGGGGCGATGGCACATCTCTCGAAGTCATTTTCGTCTGCGTTGGGGATGAAGTTCGGGTAGAACACTGGGAGTGCGCACCCGGGGCACAAATGCATCCCATTAGGCGTCATCTCCGCGCATCTCAAGCAGAAGGTGGTAGTCACGTTCAACCTGACTTCCTCACGTGACCGCTTGCGCTCCCCCCTATCGGGGGTGAGGTCACCGTAGTCCCAGGCACGATGGTACACTATCGTGTAATCATCGAACATGTACGCAGCCTTCCACGCACCCATGTGGATCTCATTTCGAACAGCAAGGGTCTTTCTCCTTGTCAGAAACACAGGTCCAACCAACGACCAATGCACCCGAAGGTCCACAATGACCACCACGTACCTACCTGAGTAGTTCCGCAGCCTGTCCCTAACGTACCACGACGGCGACACCTCGGCATTCGGCGCCATAGTCTCCACAATTGGAATCAGGCCCTCATCCAGCCTTCCATCCCCAATGGTCTCGTACGCATCGGGCCTCGTGATCAATATCTCGATCATGGCCTTCCCGTTGCGCCTCATCTTCTGGAGTTGGACTGCCTTCCTGAAGTCTAAGAACTTCATGATGACGTACCCCACCATAGGGAGTTCATTCCAGTGCATCTCGTACATCAGAGATCCGCCAGGTGCATTCTCCTGAGTGTATCTTTGCCTAACGGCGCTGAAACTCATGTCTCGTCCGATCCGCGTGTTAGTGCACTCCCTGAGGAGGACACCATTCCCATCATACATGATCATGAGCATTGCCTCAACCTGCCCTACCAGGAAAGCTTTGATCGTCGGGATAAAGAACTTCCATGACATCTCGGCGTTCTCCATACCCGTTACCTCTCTCAGGAACCAGATGGCCTGGTCACTACTCACCCAGTTTCCAGCCTCTCGTCCAGTTTCCTTCAGTACGTTCTCCTCGAAGAACTCCGAGACTCTTTTCGAGTTGATCATCAAACCTTCAAAGTCACACGAGAGCAGCTTCATCAACTCCTGAGCCGCCTCTCGTCCTGCGACAGTGCTCGCGGTCTCCTCGTAGTTCGGAACGCACTCGCTCAATCTCGTCTTCGATGGGACCACGATCTGGCAAGTGACAGCCTCATCAGGCACGACCCCAGTTTCCCGCAATTCTGGATTGATCTCCTGCCTATCGGCGAGGTAGTCCTTCCTTCCATCCAGGATCACGAGGTTGTACGTCATCTTGCTTGCCGCCACATTCGGGCGGAAATTCCTGCTTGCGTCAACCTGATCAGGTGCAAAGGGCCCACTGGGAGCAGATGCACTTACCATTGGCGCCCCTCTCCCAGAGCACAGGTGCTTCTTGTGGAAGTTCACCATCTCATTCAGCTGCGATAAGGCGTAGGCTCGATCCAGTGACGCACTCTTCATTCCTGCTTCAGTAAGAGGAGCTTCAGGCTTGTCATAGCTCGCCTTTCCGCCCCATCTTGCCGCAACCAGTTCGGCAGACTTTACAGGGTCGAGCAAATTTCCCGACCATCCAGGCACGTCACTCAGCCTCTTGGTCAGCGCGTCTATCGACGCAGCCAAGTCTTCACTCGTCACTGTGTGGGGGTCGACCTTCTCCCTGTCCGCCTGACCAACGTCAGGAAGCCTGAAATCCCCGCGGATGGCCTCCATTGCGGCCCTCTCAGCCTCCTCAGCCTCCTCTTGTGTGGCCACGGCCCTGGGGATCAAGAGCGCTGCCTCAGCAGGCAACGACTTCTCCATGTTGATCGGAGTGTTCTTGGGAAGGATCCCTCGATCATCTCCCTCCCCGCTGTACACATAGTCTGGAGCAGTCTTGCGGTACTCCTCAAAGGTAGCGCCTTTGAAGTTGGTAATCTCGCTCGGGTCTGTCTTCCCAGCCTCAGTACCCCGAGGCTTGGGCTCGCCCGTTCCAGCAGGACCCTTCTTGGAGCCTTCCTGATCCACCTCCATGTCATCTTTCTTCTCCTCCGTCATGGAAAGTTTCCCAATGTCAGGAAGTGTCACATCATCATCCTATCCTGACCCGGCACCCCTATCGGGGACCGGCTCGGCCCT